GTGGTGGGGGTGGTGATGGTAGTGGTGGCGGTGGCGGTGGTGGTGGTGGTGGGGGTGGGGGTAGTGACAGCGAGAGCAGTAGCAGCAGCACCCCCAGCAGCGGTGCTACCAACGAGGATCGTCAACTAGTTAAGAACAACGCTGCGTCTTTCTCAGGGTCTTCCTTTGCTAAGACCCACTCGGGAAAAATAGGAGGCTCTTTCGCTGCAATAGGAGGGGGCCTTTCGAAGATTGGTGGTGGCGGGGGCGGTGGCAGGGGCGGTGGTGGTGGTGGTGATGGGGGGAAAATAGGAGGCTCCTTTGCCGCTATAGGAGGGGGCCTTTCGAAGATTGGTGGCGCGGCTAGCGGGTTAACTAGCGCCGTTTCATCTGCTCGTGGGAAAGCCGTTTCATCTGTTGGGAGTACGGTTTCATCTGTGAGAGGAGCGGTGGGAGGAGCAGTGTCAACTGTTGGTGGGGCGGTGGGAGGGGCTGTTACAACTGTGGGCGGTAAGGTTGGTGGTGCAGTTACAGCTGTTGGTGGGGCGGTGGGAGGAGCTGTTACAACTGTGGGTGGTAAGGTTGGTGGTGCGGTGACAACTGTTGGTGGGGCGGTGGGCGGCGCGGTTACAACTGTTGGAGGGGCGGTGGGCGGGGCAGTGGGCGGGGCGGTTACAACTGTTGGTGGGAAAGTGGGTGAGGCGGTTACACGTGTGGAAGGAGCTGTGATGGGAGGTTCGGGAAGAGAACTAGGCTCGGTAGGGTCGGTAGGTTCGGCAGGGTCACTAGGCTCGGTGCAGGTGCATGGAGGCCGGAGGAACAAGCAGAGAGCAAGCCTCACCCTAACCAGGGGAGAGTCGGGGGGAGATGCAATGCCAGATGTAACGCCAGATGTAACTTCAGATGTAACGTCAGATGTAGTTTCAGATGTAACTTCTGATCTGACGTCAATTTCGGACGAGGGGGGGGATGAGCCGGCTGGCGGGGAGGAGGTGAAGGAGGTGGTGCGGGAGGAAGCTTCCGAGAAGACGCTGCACGCAGTCTCACGCACACCCCCACGCACCCCCCCGCCTCGCTTGACCATTCAGAGCAACTCGGGAGGTGGGTTTGGTGAGGAGGAGGAAGAGGAGGAGGAAATGGAAGGGGAGGAGGGAGGAGAGGAGGAGAAGCGGGTGGTGGGAGAAGAAGGTGGGGAGGGTGGTCATCACACCCCCACTCTCTATGAGAGCAACCAGCAGCCTGAGGGCCACCACAGCAGCAATCATCATGAGAACAATCGTCGGGACAGCCAAGAGCACAATAGCTATCACGACGACCATCACCACCACCACCACCACCACCACCACCATCGACATCACCATGGCTTGCACTTGCCGCACTTCTTTCCCCGCAGCCCCAAGCGCAGCCCAAAAGGAGCAGCAGCAGCAGCAGCAGCAGCAGCAGCAGCAGCAGCAGGACCCTCACACCAGTTGGCAGCACCACCTTCTTTCTCCTCCCACCCACCTCTTTCCGAATCTTCAGGGTTGGGCGCCGAGCCTTCCCCCCGAATCTGCATCCCGGTCTGCAGGTCCGCCGACGAGCCTCCCGCCAAGGCTCGGACTTCCCGAGCCAGGCTGCTTGGTCTGGCGCCTCTAAGCCCCCTGAGGGGGGGGATAGGCGGCCGGAGAGGAGGAGGAGAGGGAGAAGGAGGGGGAGTGGGAGGTGGAGGGGGAGTGGGGGAAGGAGGGATGAGTTCCGGTTGGGGGGATGGGGAGGGGGCTCAAGTGAGTGAGGGGTTGATCAGTCCCAGGTATGGTAGCCAGGTTCCTAGCCATGCGGGGAGAAGAAGCCCTGGTCACGGGGGAAAGAGCCCGAGGAATCTCATTGCTAGTGCGTGGAGCAAGCTGAAAAGCCCCAGGGGAAGAGATAAAGGAGGGGATAAGGGAAGTCATCAGTTTATGTCCGAGGTGGCTTTAAACAGCCCGAAGGAAGGGGATAAGGGAGGGGATAAGGGAGGGGATAAGGGAGGGGATAAGGGAGGGGATAAGGGAGGGGATAAGGAAGGGGATAAGGAAGGGGATAAGGGAGGGGATAAGGGAGGGGATAAGGAAGGGGATAAGGAAGGGGATAAGGGAGGAGATAAGGAAGGGGATAAGGGAGGGGATAAGGGAGGGGTTAAGGGAGGGGATAAGGAAGATAAAGGAGACAACAGGGAGAAGCGAGGGAATAAGGAAGGTACAGGGGATACGGGAGGGTTTAAGAGCGGTGCAGAGTTTCGGAGCATGCAGGGCGAGCAGCAGCAGCACTCTAGCTGGAGTGAACGCAGCAGTACCACTCCTTTCAGCCCCACTGCTGCTAGTGCCAGGCCCAGAAACCCCTCTAGAAGCATCTTCGCTAAAAGCCCCACCGCGAAAAGCCCCGTTAAAAGCATCTTCGCTAAAAGCCCGAACGCCAGAATCCCCGTTGAAAGCATGTTCGTTAGAAGCTCGTCCAACCCGCATGCTAAAAGCCCCTCGCTTCATAGCCCCACCGGTAAAAGCCCCTCTAGAAGCATCTTCGCTACAAGCAAATTCGCTAAGAGCCCTCGGCCGGTCAGCCCGCTGTGTGAACACCCGTTGCCTAAGAGTCTCAGCAGGAGCAAGAAACGAGAAACCTCCTTCAGTCCTGAAAGGGAGCACACAGGAGAGTTTTCCTGGGCTTATGAAAGGGAGGAGAAGGGAGGGAGTCTTCCCGAAGCAAGAGAGGGGCCCGAGGGGGGAGGGATGGGTGTTGAGAAGGGAGGTGGGGAAAAGGGGATGGGAAGTGGTGACGAGGGAGGGGGAGTTGGGGAGTGTGTGAAGGAGGGGGGTTTGAGTGCTGTTGATGCTGCTGGGGTTGCTGCTGCTGCTGCTTCGACTGCTGCTGCTTCGGCTGCTGCTGCTGCGGCTGTGGCTGTTGCTGGGGAGAAGGCGGAAGAAGGGGGGAGCAAGGAGGGGGTGATGATGAGGATGATGCCACACACGCAAGAAGCTGATGTTGTGGTATCAGAGCGGTCGCAGGACGGGTATACAGAGCAGAAACAGACGGAGGAGGAGCAGCAGGAGCAGCTGCAGGAGCAGCTGCAGAAGCAGAAGGAGGAGCAGCAGCAGCAGCAGAAACGGGCGGTAACAGAGGCGCCCAGGCCACAAAGGGTGAGGAAAAAGCACATGGGAGAGGTGCTGGCAGAGCAACAGCTGCTGCTGCAGCAACAGGAACGTTTACAAGAGCAAGAGAGGCAGCAGACGCAACAGCTGCTGCAACAGGAACAGCAGCAAGAGAGGCAGCAGCAGGAGCAAGAGAGGCAGCACGATCAGCAGGGGCAGCAGGGAAAATTTCAGGAGGGGCAAGGGCAGGAGCATGAGACGCCACACATAACTGCAAGTGCGGATTTGGGGAGTGAGGTAGGAGCGAAACACGGGCAAGAGACTGAGCAAGAGAGGGAAAGGGAGGGAGCAGCAGCAGCAGCAGCAAGAACAGCGGCAGTAGCAGGGGGGGCAGCGGGAGCAGAGGGAGCGAGGCCTAGGAAATCGGCATTGAAACGAATTGTGAGTGTAAAGAAAGGGACTGAGGAAGAGCCCAAGGTAGTGAAAGTGGTTGTGTTTGATGATGATTTCCTTGCACGTGTGGCAGTGGGAGGGGGAGGGGGAGGGGTGGAGGGAGGGCGAGGGAGAGAGGGAACGGGAAGGGGGGAAGGAGAATCAGGAAAGGAAGGTTCAGCAGAGCAACTTGCTAAAGTGGTGAAGGTGGCGGAATTTGGAGAGGAGGGAGAAGGGGAAGGGGAAGGAGGGGGACGAGGGGGAGAGGTTGGTGGTTTGGAGAAGGAGAGGGGAAAAGGAGAGGGTGGTTCGGAGTTGCCTAAAGTGGTAAAGTTTGTGGATTTCAATGAGGGGAAAGGGGAGGGTGGTTCGGAGTTGCCTAAAGTGGTAAAGTTTGTGGATTTCAATGAGGGGAAAGGGGAGGGAGGGGGAACCGGCGAGAATGATGTGGGGGGGGGCTTAACTGGGGGAGGTTCGACTGGCATTGGCAGTGGTGCTGGTACTGCTGCTCCTGCCACCGGTTGGTTTGGCTGGGGTTGGCAGCAGCACCAGCAGCAGCATCAGCAGCAGCAGCAGGAGCAAAAGCAGCAGCAGGAACAGGAGCAAAAGCAAAAGCAAAAGCAACAGCAGGAGCAGGAGCAGGAGCAAAAACAACAGCAACAACTACAGCAGCAGCAGATGGCAACAGAGGTTCCAGTCATAAGCAGCTGGTTTGGTTGGGGTAGCAACAGCAGCAACACCACCACCACTGCCGCTGCCAACGCTGCTACCAGCAGCAGCACCAACAGCACCCCCACCACCACCACCACCACCACAACCACCACCACAACCACTACCACTACTGCTACCACCACCGAACCACACAAACCCTCCTCAGGGTCAGGAGGGGCTAGTATCCCACGTTTTACGCCATTATTACGGGTAGAATCGTTTCAGGATAGGGCGAAGAGGCAGAGGGAACTCTTTTTGCAGAAGTTGAAGAAGAAGGAGGAAAGTGTGGGGAAGGTGCAGGAAGGGGATGGGTTGGCGGGAGGAGGGGGTGCGGTAGCAGGTGGAAAGGGGGAGGGGGTGAAGGAGGAGGAGAAATGGGAGGAGAAGGAGAAGAAGGAGGAGGAAAAAGAGGAGAAAGAGAAGGAGAAGGAAAACGATAGGGAGAAGGAGGAGAAGGTAGTGAGGATTCCAGGTTCAGTGGCAGCAGCAGGAGGAGAGGGAGAGGGAAAGGAGAAGGAAGCCGCAAGAGCAGGAGGGGAGGGAGCACAAGGGAGAGGAGGGGAAGGGGAGGGAAGAGTGGGAGGAGGAGCAGGGGGAGGAGGAGCAGGAGAAGGAGCAGCAGCAGCAGCAGCAGAGGCAGAGGAAGGAGCAAGAGAGGGTGGAGAGGAGAAAGAACCGCTAACAGAGGAGGAAAGGGAGAGGATTGAGAGGGAGAGGATCGAGAAGGAGTTGGAAAGGGAGAGGATTGAGAGGGCTAAGAAGCAAAGGGAGCGATTCATGAAAGCCCTGGCGAATAAGAAGCTGGGAGGAGGAGGGGGGAATAAAGGTGGCAGGGCAGTAGTAGTGGCAGGGAAAGGGGCGGCAGCACAGGGGGGTTTCGCGGCACAGGGGGGGTTTGCCGCTGTAGCAGCCGCAGCAGCCGCAGCAGCAGCGGAAGCAGCGGAAGCGGCGTCTGCTGCAGTGGCAGGGATTGCAGCTTCAGTGGTGGGTGCTGGGGGGGAAGGGGCGGGAGAGGCAGGTGGAGCAGGAGAGGGGATAGGCAGGCAGGGAGTGAAGCAGGCGGAGGGAGGGGTGGTGGGAGGGGAGAGGGGCGAGGGGCAACAGGAGGGACGGCAGGAAGGGGAGCAGGCGCAGCAAGGGCAGCTTGGAGGCAAGATGAGTGAGGGAGGTGAGGGGGAAGACAAGAGAGGGGAGGAGGAGGGAGAGGTGGAGGAGGAGGGGCGGGAGCAGCGGTTTGCATCGGCTGTCGATAGGTTATCAGAGCAAGGTAACAGATTCCTTCGTATGCTCGGGCGAGCAGGGGGAGCGGGAGCGGGGTTGGGAGTGGGAGCGGTAGGAGGATCAGGAGGGGTTGGAGGAGAGAAAGCAGCTGCAGGAAGGGCAGCGGGGGGAGGTTCTTTAGAGGGTATGAGAGGGTTCAGGAGCGACATTGGCATTCCAGGTTCCTCTGCTGCTGCTGCAGCGGCAGAAGCATCAACTGCTGCTGCTGTTGCTGCTGCAGCGGCAGAAGCATCAGCTGCTGCTGCTGCTACTGGTGCTGATGGCTCTTGTGCTGGTGCTAACAGCACTTCTGGTCGCACGGATGGTGCTAGAGCCGGTGCCAGTCCAAGCAAAGCCGCCCCTTCCCTTGCTTCAAACCTGCTCCTCAAGCGGTTACCACCGCGACAGCGTAACCGCAGCCTAGACCTCAGCTTCAGCTCCCTCCCTCAACCAAGCTCCAGCACAGACGGTACTGCTGCTGCTGCTGCTGCTGCTGGTGACCTGCGCTCTTCACCTCCCACTGCTGCCGGTGCTGCTTTAACGCAATCAAATACCATCGGCGGCGTCGGCGGCGGTGGTGGTATTGGCGACTTGTCGTTTGGAGCAGGGTCGGACTCTGCTGGCTCTTTCGTCACCATCTCTCTCTCCGGAAGCTCCAAGCGCGACTCCTTCGCCCGCGATTCATTTTCTCGAGATTCCTTTGCTCGAGATTCGCTTTCTCGTGACTCCCTAGCCAGGGATGCACCGGGTTCCTCCTCCCGAGAGTTCGGTGGTTTCTTTTCCGGTCCTGCCTCTGGTCCTGCCTCTGGTCCTGCCTCTGGTCCTGCCTCTGGTCCTGCCTCTGGTCCTGCCTCTGGGCCGTTTCGCTCTAGCAGGCCCCGTTCTCTCAGTCGAGAGGACTTTTCCCCGGATCTACCCGGTTCTCCAACCCTCTCCCCCCAACGATATGCCTCTCCTATTCACGAGCGCTTGACAGCGGCCGGGATTCTCAGCAACTCTCCCCGAGCCTCTGGGGCTGGTGGCGCTGGTGGCGCTGGTGCCCGACTCGGCAGGTTCGGTGAAGGCTCGGGCTCGCCGAACCTCACGCCCAGGTCTGGGAGGCCCCAGAGCCCGTTGACCGGCCGAAGCAGCGTGGTTGCTGCGGCGTTGGGCGCAGCAGCGGGGGTGAGGAGCGGGAAGACTTTCGAGTCGCCTCAGAAGTCGCTCGGAGCAGCAGCAGCAGCAGCAGCGGGGGTGAGAAGCGGAAAGGCGGGGTTTTCTGGGTTCGCGCCGTCCCCTTCCTTCTCCCCTTCGTATTCCTCCCCTGCTCCTCCTCCTCAGGCCACTCGCTCCTCTGTGTCTTTCGGGTCCTCTGGCATGATTGCAGCGGCAACAGCAGCAGCAATGGCCGAGGCAGCAACTGGGGCGGGTGCGAAATCAGGAGCAGGAGCAGGAGGAGCAGGAGGAGCAGGAGCAGGAGCAGGAGCAGGAGCAGGAGCAGGAGCAGGAGCAGGAGCAGGAGCAGGAGCAGGAGCAGGAGCAGGAGGAGGGTCAGGAGCAGGAGGAGGGTCAGGAGCAGGAGGAGGGTCAGGAGCAGGAGGAGGAGCAGGAGCAGGAGGAGGAGCAGGAGCAGGAGCAGGAACAGCAGGAGGAGGAGGTGGAGGGATAGGAGCAACGGCAGGAGGAGGAGCAGGGGTAGGGGGATGGGGGAGAGGTGGACACGGGAATACGAAGAAGAAATTTCACGTGCCTTTGTTTCGAGAGGACAGTGTTGCATGGCCTGAGGAGAAGCGGATTGGGCTTGTGGCTAAAGCTCTTGCTGCTGCTGGTGCCTCTCCTGCTGCTGCTGGCGCCTCCCCTGCTCCCGCTGCCCTTGCTCCCCCTGCTGCAATTGCTGAAGGCGAGGGTGTGGAGAATATAGAGGGTGGCGGTTCGGTGAATAATGAGAGAAGCGAGGAGCATTCTAGCGAGGAGATTATGGAACATATTGAGGAGAGCAGTAAGGAGGATACTATGGAGGATATGAAGGAGGATACTGAGGACAGTGCCACGGAGGATTCTAGGAAGCCTACTAAGGAGGATGATACTAAGGAGGATGATACTAAAGAGGATATTGAGGAGGATAGCAGTAACAACATCAACACTACAGAGGACCTTGCTGCGGAGGATACTAGCAACCATACTAAGGAGGATGTTGAGGAGGATATGAAGGAGGATATTCAGAACAGTAACAAGGAATACTCTAAGGAGGATGTTAAGACATTCGCCAAAGATGATATTAAGGAGGATACGTCGGTTGCAACTGAGGAGGGTCGGGAGGGTGAGGGGCTGGGCAGGGATGAGAATCAGAAGGAGCAGGAGGAACAAAGAGAGACGGTGGAACAAAAGGGGAAGAAGGAGGAGAGGAGGGAGAAAGAGAAGGCGAAGACCGGGAAGGAGAGGAAAGCGAGGAAGAGTCGAAGTGGGGACAAGGGAAGTCCAGGGGCGACAGAGGTGCCGGAAACACCAAGGGGGGGTGAATGCAACGAGGGTGATACATCTGGTGGCGTTGATGCGGGCGGGGACAGCCTGTCTTTGCTGCGGGCCAAGACAGTGGGTGATGAGGGGAATGGAGGTGATGGGGGTGATGGGGGTGAGGAGGGCAATGACAGTGTGTCTCTGTTGCGAGCGAGGACGATGTCTTCGGTGGAAACACAGGGGGAGAGGGAGAAGAAGCACCGGGAGAAGAAGAAGGAGAAGGGGTCTCCAAAGCACCGCAAATCGCCGTCAGTTTCGGAGGTTAGCTGCGGTGGCGGTGGGAGCTGGGAGGGCAGGGAGGGTAGGGAGGGCAGGGAGAGTAGGGAGGGCAGTGGAAGTGTTGCGAGTGTTGGCAGCCCTGCTGGCAGCAGCACGAGCAGCCATGGGCATAGTAGTGTGAGTGGTGATATGGATGCTGCAGCTGCCGCTGCAGCGAAGGAGGCAAGGAGGGCTGCGAGGAAGCAGAAGAAGGCTGAACAGGCCGCTGCTGAGGCGGCAGCTGCTGAGGCTGCTGGTGGTGCTGCTGTTTCTGGTGGTGGAGGAGAAGCAGGGGCATCAGCAGATGGTGTGGAGGATGGACAGGAGAAGAGAAGGAAGGAGAAGGAGAGGAGTGGTGAGGAGAAAGAGGGGAAGGGGAAGGATGAAAAGGAGAAGGAGAGAAGGAAGAAAGAGAAGAAGGAGAAGGAAGGTAAGGAAAGGGACAGAAAGGAAAAGGAGGGAAAGGAGAAGGATGGAAAGGAAAAGGAGGGAAAGGAGAAGAAAGGAAGGGAGAAGGAAGGAAAGGAGGGAGTGGAGAGGAGCAAGTCAAAGAAAATATCACGTGCCGCGAGTTCGGATGAATCGATGCCACCAGCAGGGGAAGGTGCATCTGGGGAAGGCTTATGTGGTGCAGGTGATGATGACTCTTTATCTGACGTGTCGAGCGTGGGGGGAGGCAAGAGGAGCAAGGAGGAGCGGGAGGCAAGGCGGGAAGAGAGGAGGAGGAGGAAGGAGAAGGAGAAGGGACATAGGTCCAAGGATATGTCAAGTGAATCGGTCGCTGAAGCTGGGGAAGGGGATGGCGGTGGGAGTGTTTAACTCAAAGACTCGTGGTGCTTCTGATACACTGGCTGTGTTGTTGCAACAACTGCTGCTGGCGCTGCTGCTGCTGCTGCTGCTGCTGCTGCTGCTGCTGCTGCTGCTGCGTTAGTTCTTTATTTTCACCTTGACGATCACATGAATCCATGGTGCAGTTTGAAGGTACTGTTACCTATAAGTCTGTGACGGAGGATGATATGACAGAGCTAACCGAGGGAGCGAGGAATAGGCGGGATAAAGTTGAGACACAGCCAAATAGCCTCAACCTCCATGATTAAGAACGACTGGGTATAGTGTTCTGCTTCAGTTTGTTCCTACACTAAGTCTGCTGTGCATGATTTATCCCTGCTAGTGATAGTTTTAAGTTATGTAAATTGCTTATTTCTGGGGCTAATTATTTTGCTTGTGGGTTCTGTTCATAGGTTACTTGGCGAAGTTCTGCCATTTTGACAACCCTTTATTAGCGGGGATGGCTGTGGTTGGGTGCTGTTCTACGTACGGATTAACCCAACCTAGCTGTCCACCTGACTGCCTGCCAGGCGCGTGAAAATGTTCCCGCCACCCGAGCCTGCAATGTCCATATGCCTTCTTGGGTGCTGTGCTTACCCGAACCAAGTCCTTATTGCCTGGCCAGAAAGCAATCTGGTTCGAGGCAGACCACCGCGCAACTGCCGAACCTCTGCGTGTGCCAAAACAAGCCTCATGCCAGGTTCAGTTTTGAGCTGTCATGCCTGAAACCTTTGGCCGCCTTGCGGTCCGCCCGAACGTAGCTAGCCGCCGAGCCTGATACCCTTGGGCCCCTACCAAGGTCAGGCGAACTCAGGTCAGGGGGCAGGGGGCAAGCAGGAGGGAGCGTGTGTCGCCGTAATATCGTCGCACGCGCTTACTTGCGTCGCTTCCTCAACTAGGAGCGTGGTTTGGTCGTCGTAGTCAGCCTCGCCTGCGTCGCACGACTCATGACGACTGTTATCCATCATTACCAACCAATCATTCCTCCCAAACTGAAACCAACTTCCAGGTTTCGTTCGGCTCGGCGGCGGCAACCTCAAGGGTGGCCAATTGACCAATCACCGACTCACCTGCAAGCAACACCGCAAACGAGAACAGAACCCGAGGCATCATCTTCTTTCCCTGAACAGTAAACTTTTGCATGTTACATAAACCGATGTGCATCCAGTCTTACCAAACTCGATCTACACAGAAGATTCGTTTCCTTACAGTTCCATGTCTCCTCTCGAGGCATCCAGGGTAACTCCAGGGTTCATCCAGACATCCATAGCTACACACCACATCCCCATAGCCATCCATTCATCCGCAGTCGCAAGCTGGACCAAGCCAACCAGCATTTGTGGTATGCGATGTGGAGCTAGCAGCAAGGTAAGCAGCCCCCCGTTCCACCTAGGCCAGGAGCATTGTCTAAAAAAACCGCCATCGGATTCTTCCTTAATGTCCATAATAAAAGCCTTCCCCTTTATCTTCCGTTTTTTCTTTTCTTCGTTGCTCTTCGTCAGGAAGCATTCATAGCCTGTGCGCTTAAGAACCACAATCCGAGTACGAGGGAACCAATCCTAGCCGTGTATGCCACGGCGCGGCGCATCGCGGCGGGTGAGCTGCGTGGAATGACGACGGAGAGTTTCTCTACCTGCAGCGGCTCGATCTCCTTTCGCAGCAGCAGCAGCGGCCAGCCGTTGCTGCTCCGCCGCCAATCGCGGCGCTCCGTCTCGTTGTCTCCGTCCCGCCTTAGCGCGCCCGCAGGAGCGCGACATCCGTCGTAATGGCGGAAACTGCAGTAAATAATCGGCCTGCTGCTGCTGCTGCTTCCGCGCCTGGTGCGACGGGAGCAGGAGCAACGCAGGCATCACCTCAGGGTGAGTCTTTGCGGATTTGTTAACTTCTACAAATATTTTTAATTCTACCGTTCCATGACAGTAATGTTTTTCCAGGCTTCGGATGGTTATCACCTTCCGCATTACAGTCAGGAGGGTGCAGCCAAATTACTTGCTAGATTTTACCTGAAATAAACGATGTCGAAAGGCTTCGTCTTGTTGTGTCCAGTATGGCCTCGTCACGCTCGCATTTTCTTAGGAGATAATTTTATTTTCTGGTTTATCCATCCTGTTTCGCGCTTCGCAAATCTTTGAGGCATGAGATTAACAGCTGAAGTGCTTGATTTGTGAGGATTGTTTCCAGGGAGGCGTTATCTGTTTCTATGGTCCAGGTTTTCTCGCCACGTTTACCCGTCGCCGCATGCAATGTCCGGCTAATGACACTGCTTCCGTCCGTTATTGATTGGATTACCGTGCAAGCGAATCAGCATGGACAACCGATTTCTTGGCTTCAATATTGCTGACTCTTGAGGAACGTAATCTCCATTATCCCTATTTCCTGCTCCGTGTCTTTCTTTCAGATGACCAATCGCAAGGCGGCTCCTTAAAGCCGTGCTTTCTCTCGAAGCTTCAGCAGAGCACGCCGAACTCACCGTCTCTCTCCTCCCCCACAACTCTCCCTGCCCTCAAGCCACACGCACCTCCTTTCTCTCCAACCCCATCCTCCTCCTCCCCACAAGTTCTCTCGTCTTCCCTCTCTTCCTCCGGCTCTTCCCCCCTCACCACCTCCTCCCGCGACTCTTTCTCCGCCACCCCCGGCAACTCCGCGCAGCTCGCGTCGTTCCGCGGCCGCTCCCCCTCCCCCACGCCCCCGGACCCCTCGCGCATCTGCCTCAACCCCAACGCTGCGGCGTTCGTTCCGTGCTTTTCCGGCGCTGGCGGGAACGGCGGAAGCGACGGAAACGGCGGAACCGGCGCGGGTCCTGAAGGGGGTAGCGGAAGTGGGGAAGGCGGCGACGGCGGAGAAGGGGGAGCGGATGCCCACTCGGCGGAAGGGAACATGTATGCGCAGGCAAATGCGCACGGGGAGGGTTCCTCTAGTCGTGGATTGTCAGCAGAGGAAGCCAACTACGAAGGTTCCTCTTTAGATAGAATTCCGTCTAACACCTCGGTTTCATCTGACGACGAGTATCGTCGTTACGTTAGGGATCAGCTTCCAGACGAGCTTATCAGCTTCGACGAGCAGGACACTCCGAACCTCAACGGCAGCCTTCTCCCGCCGGACCTAGACGGGCTTGGCTCGGCAGATTCCGAACATGGAGGCAGCATTTCCGGGCCTGGGGGCGGACCTCGTCCCGGCGCCGAGCGTGGGCCTGGGGGTGAATATCTGATTCATAGTAAAGTGGGCATGCGGGGAAGCGGGGAGGGGCGGGGCTGGAATCCGGACGCGCGGAGTTACTTGGCGGAGCTTCCCCCCGACCATCCCTTGCACCACGCCTCCCCGCATCAGCACCATCTCCCCCCGCACCTGCGCCAAGGCCCCGGTAGCGCTTCCGCCAGCCCCATGTCCCACGCGCGGCATTCCCTAGGCGGACCTCCTGCTTTCCCCGATCACGAGTTTGGTGGGGGCTCCCCGGCGTCGTTTCCGCGGAACCCTCCGCCCTCCAGCCCCGCCGCGGCTGCGCTTCTTGCGCGGCTCGACCTTGGTGGGGGCGGAGGCGGCGGAGCAGGCGGAGGACCGCCTCCGCCCACCGCGCAGCAGCTTGCGGAGCTGCTAGACGGTCCTGCGCCTGGACTTGGGGGGCTTCCCCCTGGAGCAGGATACCCCTTCGATAACTATCCTCCCCCGCATTTCGACCACTTGGGGGTTGGAAACCATCCGCGCCCGTCCAACTCTCTCCCCGCTTCCCCCGCCCCCGCTGGTGTGCACCGCTTCAATCCCGCTCTCCGCGGCAGCCCGCTCCATTTCTCTCCTGCCCGCCACGGCCCGCCGCCTCCCCCGCATCACATGCTTCCGCCGTCGCAGCTGCTTGGCGGAAGAGGCGGAGCAGGGGAAGGGGGGCGCGGGCTTCCGCCGGGGATTACGGAGTCGTCCAGGCGCGGGCACTTTGGACCGCCGTTAGATGGACCAGGGAGAATGGACGGCAGGATGGACGGCAGGATGGACGGCAGGATGGATGGCCGGATGGATGGCAGGATGGATGGCAGGATGGACGGCAGGATGGACGGCCGGATGGACGGCAGGATGGATGGCAGGATGGATGGCAGGATGGACGGCAGGATGGATGGCAGGATGGACGGCAGGATGGACGGCAGGATGGACGGCAGGGGAGATGGTCCGCCCATGGGCCCCCCAGGTAGCCCCATGCCCGGGCCGGGGGGACCTCCTCCCCCTAACACGCTTTACCAAGGCCCCGCGGGAAGGGGCGGGCGCGGAGGCGGACCGTTGGGCCCCGGGGGGATGGGCGGGCCTGGTGGGCCTGGTGGAAGATTTGCGCCAGGTCCGCCGTTCAGCCCGGAAATAGGCCCACGCTTGGGCTCCCCGCCGCCCCACATGAACCCCGCCAGGGGCGCGGGGGGCGGAGGCGGAGGCGGAAATATGGGTCCCCCAGGTCCCTCTAACAGCTTTTCCCCATCTAGATCCCCGCACCCGCGATACTCCAGACCGGGACCGAGGCGGGGAGCTGGAGAAGAGCCGCCGTCGCCGCTTAATCAAGGTATAGGCAGTCTAGACCACCGTAGCCCGATGGGCGTGGGCAGGGGGGGAGGACATTTGCGCCACCCGCAACAGAACCGGCGGAACAGCTTAGATCAGCGCAGCCCCATGCACCCGCTGCGGGATCCGCACCAGCAGGGGAGGAGAGCGGGGCCGGGGGGAAGGGGAGGAGGTGGCGGGGGAGGAGGAGGGGGACCAGGCGGAGGAGGCGGAGGCGGAGTAAACGGGGAGGGCGGCGGCGGAGGGATGCCCCCTGGAGCGGGAGACAACGGCGGGCACTTTCCTCCGCCGTTTGAGCTTCCCCCAGGGCCGGCGGCGCGGATGCTGGATAGAAGGTTCCGCGGACCTTCCGCTGGGTGGAACCCTGGTCCGCTGGATGAGCTAGAGGAGGGTCCCCCCGGCGCGGGGGGGCCAGGCGCGGAGTACAACGCGCATGGGGGGTTTCCGCTTCATGACCCCCCTCCCCCGCCCCCCCATGGCCTCCCCCCACACGAGCTAGGGGGATTTTACCTAGACGAGGGGATGCCGCCCCCAGGCATGCCCCCGCCCCCGCCGCCCCACCATCTCCCCCCACACCATGCGCGCGCGCATCCCCCGGGGCCTCCGCACGGGCACGCGCCTTCCCCCGGGGGGCATCCGCGGGGGGGGGGTCCGCCCCCGCCGCCGCATCACGGGATGGACGATCCGATTCTGGTGCTGGCGGCGGAATTCCCGGATTTCTCCATGCAGAGCCTGGCGGACGCGTTTTTCGCGCATGGGGCAGACCTAGGCGCGACCATTGAGGCGCTGTGGCAGCTGCAGGTGCGCGGAAGGCGGTTGGGCGCAGGGGAAACGGGGGGGCGGGCGGTCGGGGAATGAGGGACTGGAGGGTTGGGGAGATGGGCGGTTGGGGCATGGGCGGTTGGGGGAAAGTCACACACCTGGTATTTGCTGGTTCCCTCATTGCTCTTCCTTATTCCCACCGGGTAGGATTACCAGGAGGACAGGGGCCTCTTGCCACTTTCTTAACGCTCTCTTCCAACCTGTGTTACCTGCTTCCTTGCCCCCTTGCCTCCTTGCTCCCTTGCCACTGCCTCCTTGCCTTCCCTGCCCCCACCGCCCAGCAATACCAAGAGGACGGGGACCCCTCGCTACACTCCGGCCCTCCCCGCTCATCCCAACGCTCCCCCCCCCTCGGCTCTCTTTCGAACTTCGCCTCACCTCCGCCTCCCCATCACTACTCCTCTGCTGCTGCTGCCGCCGCCGCTGCCGCTGCTGGTAGGACGGTTTCTGCTACTCAATCCGCCTCCTCCGCCCACCCTCACCGTTTCAGCGCCCACATAGGGAACTCCCCTGGGGGTCCTGGTGGGGTTGGTGATTCTGCTGCTTCGGATGGAGGTCCGGACGGTGGTCTGGATCCGAGCCTCCTCTCCCGTTCCATGCCGAACCTGAAACCGTTTGGCTCGGCCGGGCCTGGAGCTCCTGGGCTGGATGAGATGCCGTGGTGGGTTCAGCAGCAGCAGGGAGAGCAGGGGGGGGAGAAGCAGGGGTTTCAAGGAAACAGCGACACATATGCGAGCTTGTATGGTGCTGGTGGTGCTGGTGGCGTGGGTTCAGTGTGGGATATGAGTCCGTGCAAGCCGGGGGGGTTTGAGGGAAGGCGAGGGGAATACGAGGAGAAGCAACAGCAGCAGCAGCAGCAGCAGCAGCAGCAGCAGCAGCAGCAGCAGCAGCAGCTTCGTGGGGAGGAGATGTTTCAGTTTGAAAGGGCGGGTGCGTTGGCAAATGAGTCCGCATCAAGCCAAATCGCAAATCATGTTTTTTTTTTCTTTGCATTTCTCGTTCCAACGTGCCGACTTTTCAGTCCTTGTTCTAACATTTCTTTTCATGCCAAACAGCGATAGCTTGCAGTGGTTTTTCCTGCTCGAGTGCCCACCAAAACTTCCCCCCTGGTGGCGTTTCTGTGGGTGCATGCTATGGGCGATGGCATGCCATGGGTGCTCGGCATGCTATGGGCGTATGGCATGGTATGGGCGTATGGCATGCTATGGGTGCATGGCATGGTATGGGCGATGGCATGCCATGGGTGCTTGGTTGCATGGCAGGTCTTGACATGGTGGGCTCGAAGGAGGGTCCACATCCCCTCTCCCATACTGTACCTGCTCGCACAGCCTCCCAGCCCTGCAACAAGGTAGATATATGATTGATATGGGTGCATGGGCGCATGGGTGCATGGGCGCATGGGCGCATGGGTGCACGGATGCATGGGCGCATGGGTGCCAGTGATTTGCCAGTAAAGGCTCCCTGCCTGGTCCATTCCGTATCCCTTCCCCATTCACTTTCCCATTCCTTCCCTTTCCCATTCCCATTCCTTTCCTTTCACATTCCCTCTTCTTCCCTTTCCCATTCCCTCTTTCTCTCGCCCTTTTCTTTCCCTGCCTGCTTTATTCCATATACCGCTCCCACCTCTCCCCGCCTTTCATTCTGCGTTTCCCTGGTCCACCAGTGGGCCCCTGACGTCAACACCAACCCCAATCCACCGTCGAGTGCCAAACCCATGAGGAGTCTTGACGCCAATGCCCTCGCATTCAGCATTCCCTAACCCTCTCCCCTTCCCCCTCCTGCCGCTCACTCCTGCCTGCGTTTCACTGCTCCACCAGTGGGCCCCTGACGCCAACACCAACCCCGATCCACTGTCAAGCTTCAACCTCAGGAGGAGCCTTCACGTTTTTCTGTGGCGCCTCAAAACTCACTAACATGCTCCCTGCCATGCTCCCTAACTATCCTGTTCCCTGCTCCACCAGTGGGCCCTTGACGCCAACACCAAACCCGATCCACAACCCCAGGAGGAGCCTTGATGTCAAATCCCTCGCATACAGCATTCCCCAACCCTCTCCCCTTCCCCCTCCTGCCCCTCATTCCTGCCTTTGGCTCCTTGCTCCACCAGTGGGCCCCTGACGCCAACACCAACCCCGATCCACCGTCAAGCTTCAACCTCAGGAGGAGCCTTGACGTTTTTCTGTGGCGCCTCAAAACTCACTAACATGCTCCCTGCCATGCTCCCTAACTATCCTGTTCCCTTCTCCACCAGTGGGCCCTTGACGCCAACACCAAACCCGATCCACAACCCCGGGAGGAGCCTTGATGTCAAATCCCTCGCATACAGCATTCCCCAACCCTCTCCCCTTCCCCCTCCTGCCCCTCATTCCTGCCTGTGGCTCCTTGCTCCACCAGTGGGCCCCTGACGCCAACACCAACCCCGATCCACCGTCAAGCTTCAACCCCCGGAGGAGCCTTGACGTGGACGCGCTCGCATATGGCATCAGGTGCGTGCTTTCTTGAAAGGGGGGCTGTCTTGAAAGGTGGTATGCTCGCATATGGCATCAGGTGCGTGTTTCATTGAAAGGGGGGCTGTCTTGAAAGAGGGGGGGTGGGTATGCTTGCACGTATGGCATCATGTGTGTTCTTCCTTGAAAAGAGGCCATGTAAGCTGACTTTTGAGGCGCCTCAAAAGTAAGCTGAACCATGGGTTCCATATGGCCCTCTTTTTAGCACCTTATGCCCCCCCACCCCACCTCTTTGTTTTTCCCCCCCCGTCCCCGTCTTTGTTTTTTCTTCCAGCTCCTCGTCTGTCCTTCGCTGTAAATGCAGACTTCAGAGTCGACTCAAAAGTCACTTTTGAGTCGACTCAAAAGTCACTTTTGATTCGACTCAAAAGTCACCTCGTTACCATGGCACACACTCCCTGTCCCCGTCTTTGTGTTTTCTTCAAGCTCCTCTTCTGTCCTTCTCTGTAAATGCCGACTTCATGTCTTTTGGTGCCTTTTTTAACGCCTCGTTTCTGCTTTTCAGTGTATCCTGTTTTGTTTCTCCCTGGATTCTTCGCTTGTTTTCTCTGTTTTTGAATGCCAGGGAAATACCCTCCGGCTCGCTCTCGTCTGGAATAACCGAACCTGGCAGCTTCAACAGCAGCAGCTTCGGCACGATCAGCATTGGCGAGTTTAACAGCAGCCGCAGCAACAGCAGCATCAGCAACGGGTTCAGCAACAGCAGCGTGAGCATGAGCAGTGCAAGCAACAACGGTGGGGGCAACAGCACCGCCGATGGCAACACAAATGGCAGTGGCAGCAACGGCGGCAGCGGTGGTATGGCCGGCGGCGGCGGCGGTATCGGCAGCGGAATCGGCAGCAACAGCAGCAGTGCCGCTCGCATGCTGACATTTGATACCTCAGCGGAAGGGAACTGTCTTTCTGCCTCTCCCTCTCCTGCTGCACCTGCTGCTCCTCCTCCCGCCCCTGCTTCTCCCGCTCCTCCGTCTGCCCCTCCTCAGTCTGCCCCAGCGCCTTCTGGCCCTCTCCCGCCTCCCGGCATGCAAAACGACCCGGCGCGGGTGTTGGAGCTGAGGGGCATGCATGTGTCGAATGCCGTGTGCCTGCTGCAGCAGGAGGTGGCTTCCCTGCGCTTTGCTGCTCAACGTACCAAGTCCCGCCAGCAGGTATGAGCCCACATGCGCTTACTCAACAGCAGGAGAAACTCGTTCCCTTTAGAGGGGCCACTAAACTTGTGTGTGCGAGATCAGGCCTCTATACCTGTTATCGCTCTTTGCTCTGATGGAGCATAGCAGCATAACGAAACTCCCCTGGTCCTCCTTTTTCTCCTCTCGTCTCCCCTCCTGTTCCCCTCTCCAGCTCTACGTGCATGTGGGGTCGAAATCACTTTTGAGAATTCTCACGTGCAAGTGATTTCGATATGTGGGGTGCAGTCTCTCTACACCAGCGACAGGGCGCTGTAGCACCTCCAGCAGGTGGTGCAGTCTCTCTACACCAGCGACAGGGCGCTGTAGGACTTTTGAGTCGACTCAAAAGTCACCTCTGTGGGGTGCAGTCTCTCTACACCAGCGACAGGGCGCTGTAGCACTTTTGAGTCGACTCAAAAGTCACCTCTGTGGGGTGCAGTCTCTCTACACCAGTGACAGGGCGCTGTAGCACCTCCAGCAGGTGGTGGATCAGAGCACTAGAATGCAGCTTCCGTGTGGCCCTATCATGCTAATTGCGTGCCCTATTGTGCTAATTTCCCTATCGCCCCATCTACCTGCCTCGTACTCCCCCCCTTTTTCCCGTGCGTGTGGCATCGGGTCTCTACACCAGCGACAGGGCGCTGTAGCACCTCCCAGCAGTGTTGGAGCAGAGCACTATCGGCCTATCGTGTTAGAAGAGCACCAAGCTCTCTACATTTTTTAGTCGACTCAAAAGGCACGTCGTGTCAGAAGAGCACCAAGCTCTCTACACTAGAATGCAGCTTCCGTGTGGCCCTATCGTGCTAATCCCCCTATCGCCCCATCCACCCTTCCTTGTCCCCCCCCCCCCTTTTTCCTCCTCCCGTCTAGCTCTACGTGCGTGTGGGTTCAGGCCTCTACACCAGCGACCGTGCACTGCAGCACATGCCAGCAGTGGTGGAGAAGACCAGTGGAATACAGCTGCCCTGTCTCCCCCTTTCCCTCCCATCTCCCTTCCCTCCCCTGCCCCCGTCCAGCTCTACGTGCGAGTGGGTTCAGGCCTCTACACCAGCGACCGTGCGCTGCAGCACATGCCAGCAGTGGTGGAGCAGTATTTGGTCGACCAGGAGGGTCTTCACGTGCTGGAGCCACAACCGGGTCTTCTAAGGGTGTTCATGTGAGTTCTTTGCGGTGCAATGCGGTTTAGTATGGTCCAGTGCGGTGGAGTGTGGTATGAGTGGGGATATCTGTGGTGCTTGTGCACTGCAGCACATGCCAGCAGTGGAGGAGCAGTATCTGGTCGACCAGAAGGGGCTTCACGTGCTGGAGCCGCAGCCAGGGCTACTGCGAGTGTTCATGTGAGTCATAGTCTGGTACAGTGCGATGCCATGCGGTGGTGAGTGGTGTGGATGGGTGGGTGGGGATATCTGTGTCCGACCGTGCAGTGCAGCACATGCCAGCAGTGGTGGAGCGGTATTTGATCGACCAGGAGGGGGTGCACGTGCTGGAGCCGCAACCGGGGCTACTGCAAGTGTTCATGTGAGTCATAGACTGGTACCGTGCGGTGCCATGCGGTGGTGGTTGGTGTGGGTGGGTGGGTGGGGATACCTGTGTCAGTCTTGGGGGGGTGCAGCACATGCCAGTAGCGGTGGAGCAGTATTGGTCGACCAGGAGGGCCTTCACGTGGTGGAGCCACAGCCAGGCCTTTTGAGGGTGTTCATGTGAGTTCTGTGCGGTGCAATGAGGCCTAGTGTGGTCCAGTGCAGTGGAGTGTGGTATGAGTGGGGATATCTGTGGTGCTTGTGCACTGCAGCACATGCCAGCAGTAGTGGACCAGGAGGGCCTTCGTGTCCTGGAACTGCAGCCAGGCCTTTTGAAGGTGTTCGTGTGAGTTTCTGTGCGGTCTGATGCGGTGGGGTGGGGTATGTGTGCGTCTGACTTGCTGTGCCCGTCCATGCCATATCCCACTGCTGCTACAGGCATAACTAGACTTATGCTACCCCCCCCCCCTTCTTCCCTGCGTCTGCCCCCACTCCCCGCCCCGCCCCATTCTCCCACAGCCCATCTGTGCCTTAGTCCACTGCCGCGTGCGAGGAGAGAGGAGGGGAGGGGAAGGGAGGGGAAGGGAGGGGACGGGAGAGGAGAGGGGAAGGGAGGGGAATGGAGCACCTTTAGTCAGTCAGTCCGTCAGCAAGGAGGCATGATGCTTGCTCTGCTAACTTCTAACGCCCATGAATCACCACAGCTTCAACCAACAACAACCAGCAGCAGCAGCTATTCAGCACAGCAGCAGCAGCAGCTGTTAAACTCGTTTACACCGCCAACCAACCAACCGCAGCCTGACACGCGGACAGCACAAGAGCTGCCCCGCCAACCAACCAACCACAGCTGCGGTCAAGCTAACACCTACCCCTATCCGATGTCCTGAGTCCTCACCACTGGCTCAGAATGGTCACTGCTCTTATTGAGGTGGCTTTAAAGTCAACTCCACAGTCACCTTCCCAGTGGCTCCAAAAGGGTCTTCTTCACCAGCTGTTTTTGCAGCTTGCATCTGCCTAACACCTACCTCCTAACTTAGAGAGCAAGCCATGCCTCCACCTGCTGCTTACAAGGTGTCTCCGGTCCTCCTGAGCTCCTGTGTTACCGACCAGGCATTACCAACCTTCTGATTGGTTCCATCTTCCTTCTGAGACATGGTGTTTCAAGTGCTGTGATACTAAGCTTCAACTTCTGAGACACGGGGGGTTTCAACTTCCAGCCTCCAATGGCGGCAGCAGACATTGGGTGGCGGCTTGGTTGGGAGAGCTTGCCACTTGGTGTGAGGTGCTGACTGTACGCTTCAAGCTAGCGGCTGCTAACAACTGATGCAGCGAATTTAGACGTAACATGGAGCCAGCAGCAGCAGCAGCAGTCGCCGCCTGGTATTCTCTCCGAGTTGCTCTTGTTCAGATTCGATTTGGTTTTGATTTGGTTCATGCTTTCCTGCTTGGTTCTCTTTTTTCGTTACATTCTAAACAGTTCAGGTTCAGTACTGCATTATTCGTGTCTGTAGCTATAGACTGCTATGCTTGCCTTATTCTGTGTGTGATTGTTTACTGTAGTGTAGGTATGCTTGCACTGTGGTAGGATCTACCGTATTACAGTATGGTGTTTTAATGTAGTACTTTTACCATTTGTCTCTAGTGCATATTGCATAATTGCATCCTTTGTTTTATCCCATACACGATACTTGTATCAAGCTGGGTACTGGAGTCTTGATTGACCCTGATCCCTAAGTCGTTCTCCCACACCCAGGGTTTTCGCTTTGTCTGGGTAGCGCTTGCCGGCGTCGCTATCGAGTACATTCCCTCCCACACAGGCGGTACCGTACCTACGAGGCTACGACACATATTCCTACCGAATAAGGTAACCCGGGAGGAAAACGGTACGCCAACCCAGAAAGCAATTGCAATGCCGTAAACATCTCTGTCGAGGCAAAAGGCGGTAATATCATTTTGCCTGCCTCCTATCGATTGACCGCTCCAGCAGGTTGTCAAACTGAGATGAGAACCAAAGTTTGTTTCTACCCGAGTGGGACTTTTGAGTCGACGCAAAACGTGTGGCATCATTCGCCTGCCTCCTGTCTTCCATTCCAGCAGGTTGTCTCAAAGTGAGATGAGATGAGAACCAAAGGTTGTTCCTACCCGAGTGGGTCATTTCATTGTAAACACTGTGACACCAGATTTCTTAATCCCTTCTTTATTGCCAGGAAACCATAGCATAGCCACAAACGCGGGATGATTTTATATACAGATGGCATGTCCACATACCCTGTAGCATTCATGGTTTGGAGGAACAATTCGCCAGGGACCAACCGATCCTTGCATTCTCAATATCATACACCATAAGGTAACCCCGCATCGTGATATCTGCAGCACAGGAAATCCAAGGAAGGGGGGATGTAAGGCGTTCATGGTTTGGAGGAACAATTCGCCAGGGTCCAACCGATCCTTGCATTCTCATTATCATACACCAGAAGATAACCCCACATCGTGATATCTGCAGCACAGGAAACCCAAGGAAGGGGGGATGTAAGGCGTTCATGGTTTGGAGGAACAATTCGCCAGGGTCCAACCGATCCTTGCATTCTCATTATCATACACCAGAAGATAACCCCGCATCGTGATATCTGCAGCACAGGAAACCCAAGGAAGGGGGGATGTAAGGCGTTCATGGTTTGGAGGAACAATTCGCCAGGGTCCAACCGATCCTTGCATTCTCATTATCATACACCAGAAGATAACCCCGCATCGTGATATCTGCAGCACAGGAAACCCAAGGAAGGGGGGATGTAAGGCGTTCATGGTTTGGAGGAACAATTCGCCAGGGTCCAACCGATCCTTGCATTCTCATTATCATACACCATAAGATAACCACGCATCGTGATATCTGCAGCACAGGGAACCAAAGGAAGCGGGGATGCAAGTCGTTACAATGAACTAGCAGGCGAGGAGGCTGCCAGGGCAGACCGCATGGACAAGAAAGGTTGCCAGGGCAGAAGAGGTAGCGAAAACAGCTTACAGCGCATGCATTCCGTACCTTCTCGCCTCAGAAATAGCTTGGCAAGAGACTGAAACTATTTTGTAGTCGACTCAAAAATACCTTCTCGCCTCAGAAATAGCTTGGCAAGAGACTGAAACCTGGACTGCATTTCTCTACACGGTGTGGAGTAAACTACAGTAGAAAATGCCGCGCCTCCAGTAATGGTCCGGTAGACAATATGAGTTACCGTACCTCCGACGGTGCACATTACCGTACCTCGGATGGTGGTCTGCCCTAACTTTGCATTACCGTACCTCCGATGATGGTTCGGGAATTGCCTCCCAATGCGATTGACTCATCTCCGTCCAGAATGCCAAGGCAAACTGTGCCATGCCTCTGTGGCTCGATGGGGTTGAGTGAGGGGTGAAGCGGGTGGGAAGACGGGGGAGAGGGGTGGAGGAAGAGAGGGGAAGAGACGAGAAAATTATTTAACACACAATTTCCGTCTCCCATCGTAATTTCCCAGAGAAATTGCTCCAAGAAGGTGACATGACTGTTGCTTACCCCCAAAACCCCCCTTCCATTTCTCACCGGTGAGAGGAGGTACGTTACAAGAGCAACGGAGAGATGAGCTGACGAGGAGAAGATTGAATGCAAGTCAACGGGGAAGGTGAGTGGAGAGAGGTGAGATGTCATGTGAGTGTATCTCACCCACCCACCACCATACCAAACCAACCCCTTACCAAGCACCACCATTGAACCACCACCTTACCAAACACGTTGACAGCAACTGACCAGAGAGAGCAGGTACGAGGGAGGAGCAACGGAAAGATGAGACGACGAGGAGAAGATGGAGTGTGGGTTAAAGGAGAAGGTGAGCGGAGAGAAGTGAGAAGTGACATGAGTGCTGCTTACTCCTAAAGTCCCCCATTCCATTTCTCACCGGCGAGAGAAGGTGTGAGGCGGGAGCAACGGAGAGGCCTGCTGACAAGGAGAAGATGGGAGTGCGAGTCATCAAAAGAGGCCAGATGGAGTGCGAAACAAACTCCATAAAAAGAAAATGGCGGAAGGAGCCTGGTGTGCGGCGGGAGCAACGGAGAGGCCTGCTGACGAGGAGAAGATGGGAGTGCGAGTCATCAAAAGAGGCCAGATGGAGTGCGAAACAAACTCCATAAAAAGAAAATGGCGGAAGGAGCCTGGTGTGCGGCGGGAGCAACGGAGAGGCCTGCTGACGAGGAGATGGGAGTGCGAGTCATCAAAAGAGGCCAGATGGAGTGCGAAACAAACTCCATAAAAAGAAAATGGCGGAAGGAGCCTGGTGTGCGGCGGGAGCAACGGAGAGGTCTGCTGACGAGGAGAAGATGGAGTGTGAGTCAAAGGAGAAGGTGAGTGGAGAGCTATGAGCGTTCTCACTCACCCAGCCACCCCCTTACCAAGCACCACCATACCAACTGATTGTGTAGTGAGTTGATTTTTTAATCGACTCAAAAATCTTCTCACTCAGCCAGCCACCCCCTTACCAAGCACCACCATACCAACTGAGGTCGTTTTTGAGGCGCCTCAAAAAGGTCGTTTTTTTTTTAGGCGCCTCAAAAGCGTTCTCACTCAGCCAGCCACCCCCTTACCAAGCACCACCATACCAACTGATTGTCGGAGTAAGTCACCAGTGAGAGGAGGTACATGGCAGGAGCAACGGAGAGATCAGCTGATGTGGAGAAGATGGAGTGTGAGGCAAAGGAGAAGGTGAGTGGAGAGAAATGAGCTGCCACGTGAGTGTTGCTTTACTCCGAACCCCCTTCTTTCCAATTCTCACTGGTGAGAGGAGATATGTTGAAGGAGCAACGGAGAGATCAGCTGATGTGGAGAAGATGGAGTGTGACTTAAACGAGAAAGTGAGCGGAGAGAAATGAGATGCCACATCAACGGTGGACCTGAGAGGATGGCATGGGAAGGGATGCATGGGGAATGCATGGGGTTGGTTGCATGGGGTTGGTTGCATGGGGTTGGTTGCATGGGGTTGGTTGCATGGGGTTGGTTGCATGGGGTTGGTTGCATGGGGTTGGTTGCATGGGGTTGGTTGCATGAGGTTGGTTGCATGGGGTTGGTTGCATGGGGTTGGTTGGTTGCATGGGGTTGGTTGCATGGGGTTGGTTGCATGGGGTTGGTTGGTTGCATGAGGTTGGTTGCATGGGGTTGGTTGCATGGGGTTGGTTGCATGGGGTTGGTTGCATGGGGTTGCGAGGTGTTGCATGGGGTTGCGAGGTGTTGCATGTGAACGCATGTGAATGCATGGGGAAGCACGGGGAAGCACAGCAGTGGTGGTGGTGCACCATACAAACAGCGAAAAAGTTTTGAGTCGACTAAAAACTTGGTGCACCATACAAACAGGGAAAAGGTTTTGAGTCGACTCAAAATTTGGTGCACCATACAAACAGACTTTGAGTCGACCCTAAGCACAGCAGTGGTGGTGCAGCATACAAACAGCGAAAAATGGGTTTTGAGGCGCCTCAAAAGTAGTCACAGCAGTGGTGGTGGTGGTGCAGCATACAAACAGCGAAAAATGGGCCGAATTTTGAGTTGATTCAAAGGCCTACCCGTACTCTTTCCATCCCACGCACGCACCTGATCTCGGCAGTCCCTATCCCTGCCTCCCAACAGTGGGGTTGCACAGTCACGTGGAGGTGGTAGCACGGTCACGTGGGGGTGGTAGCACAGTCACGTGGGGGTGGCAGCATCACATAAATTGCAAGGAGCAACTCTATTCCTGAATTGACTAAGTCAATAGCCTATCCCAACTCTCCCCATCCCACGCACCTGATCTCGGCTGCCCCTTTACCCGCCCGCCAGCAGTGCGGTAGCACAGTCACGGTGGTGTCTGCCTGCATGCCTGCTGCTGCTGCATCGGCTGATACCTGGGAGGAGGGGCGCGAGGGGGACAAGAGGGTCAAGAGGGTCAAGAGGGTCAAGAGAGCAACAAAGGAGTTGGAGTCAGGGACTAAAGCCCCTTTCCTTGCTCGCCAGCCGTGGGGTGGCACAGTCACGATGGTGGTGTCTGGTTTGCATGCCTGCCGCTGCTGCATCGGCTGATACCTGGGAGGAGCAGCAAGCGAGGGGCGGGCACAAGGCAGATTGGAAGGAATTTTTAGGCGCCTCAAAAAGCGAGAACAGGGCAGATTGGAAGCAGCCTTCCAAACCCTCACCATCGAACTTTTTGCCACACCACAAAAATATAAGATTTGAGACGACGCTAAAGGTATCTATTTTAGTTGTAATAAGAAGCAAGCAAGTAAATGAACAAGCTTTGAGAGACATCTCACAAGTCTACCAAAACCCTCACCTTGTTAGCAACACCTCAAATCAAACGGAGCAGCAGGCAGGTAGGATGTGTTGGTGGACAAACACACATCACCAGCTTTTCGAGGTGACTTTTGAGTCGACTCACAAGTCACCACAAACGCACATCACCAGCTCTTCTTTCTGATGCATCTTAGTACCGTCACTCACCATCTGTAGCAGTGCATCCAAGGGAGCAGCAGGCAGGTAGGATGTGTTGGTGGACAAACACACATCGCATCACCAGCTTTTCTTTCTGATGCATCTGTGTACCGTCACTCACCATCTGTAGCAGTGCATCCAAGGAAGCAGGCAGGCAGGTAGGCAAACGACAACCCAGAGTCGAACACCCGCGTGAGAATGATCAAGATTTGATACGTCTCACGATTTCCCAGAAACGCTCACCATCTGTAGCAGTGCATCTAAGGGAGCAGCAGGCAGGTAGGACGTGTTGGTGGATGGACCCACATCACCAGCTTTTCTTTCTGATGCCTTTTGAGTCGACTCAAAAGTCACCATCTGTAGCAGTGCATCTAAGGGAGCAGCAGGCAGGTATGCAAACGACGACCCTGAGTTGAATATCGCCCCTCCTCTTTCCACTCCACCCAGCAGGCAGGTGAAACATCACCCAGCAGGCAGGTGAAACTTCACCCAGCAGGCAGGTGAAACTTCACCCAGCAGGCAGGTGACACTTCACCCAGCAGGCAGGCAGGTGACACTTCACCCACTTCTCTCTTCAGCAATGCTTGGAATCGCACTCACCATCTCCAGCAACGAGTTGACTTTTGAGTCAACTAAAAACTGCCTAGGATTGCACTCACCATCTCCAGCAACGCTTCAAAAGTAGGACCGGGCAGGTACGCAAACGACGACCCCAAGTCGAACATCCATATGAGTATGATATAGGTTTGAGAAGGCTCACGATTTGAGATGGTGAGCGGTTTGAGAAGGCTCACGATTTCCTCAAAACACTCACCATCTCTAGCAGTGCGTCAAATGGTGCAGCAGGCAGGTATGCAAATGACGACCCCGAGTCAAATATTGCCCCTCCGCTCTCCACTCCACCATCCTCGTTATAAGCAGAGGCAGAGCCTGCGTGCTTATTGTGGAGCGCCTTGGGATCGTCGATGGGAAGCTTCTTGGAACCGTAGGAGATGCGGAGGAGGGATGCGTGGTAGTAGCGGCTGGGGGGATGGGTGAGGATGGGTGAGGATGGGTGAGGGGATGGGTGTGAGGGAATGGGAATTAAGAAAGATGGGGATGAGTTGAGAAGGAAGAAGGAATTACCTCACTCACTCCATCACTCATCTGCTCATCATTCACTCCCTCACAAACTCTCTCACTCACTCCCTCACAAACTCTCTCACTCACTCCCTCACAAACTCTCTCACTCACTCCCTCACGAACGAACTCTCTCAATCACTCCCTCACTCAATCACATGTCGCTTGCTGCAGCTCGAAGGGTACAAGTGAGAGATCCTCACTCAATTCAACTCTCCTCACTCACTCCCTCACTCACTCACGTGTCGCTGGTGGCAGCACGGGGGGTCCAGGTGAGGGTGCTGGGTAAAAGCGCTTCCCCTATGAAGAAGTAACCTCCCCCAGATACTGCCGAATCGAGACAGTGGCCAAACACGTTTCGCCCCGCCCCTGCTCTGGACAGCTGGTGGGTGTGGTGCGAGGGGAGGGTAGGTAGGGGGAAGCGAGGAATTGAGTGAGAAGAAGGGTGGTGGGTATGGGAGGGATGCAGATGCTACCGAATCGAGACAGTGGCAAGACACGTTTCGCCCCACCCCTGCTCTGGACAGCTGGTGGGTGTGGTGAGGCGAGAGGAGAGTGGAGTGGGTGTGGGGGTGGTAGCCGACGCCGTGAGGGGAGGGGGGAGGGAGGGGCAGGAAAGGGGACGAGGGGAGGAGGAAAGGAGGGAGAGAATATGGGGAGGGGAAAAGGAGCAAACAGCACCAAACACAGGTAGACCTGATTAGAGTTGATCTGCATTGACCGCATTGACCGCATTGACCGCATTGACTGCATTGACCGCATTGACCGCGGTAGGGGGGCCCTCAGTGGCAAGAAGGGGGCACCTGGGCAGGGAGCGAGAGGTTGGAAGGGCCGAGACCCAGCACCCCATCGGAGCAACTTGCACTGACCCGCATTGACCCGCATTGACCTGCATTGACCTGCATTGACCCGCATTGAACCTCAACCCTAGTGGGAGAACGAGAGAGGCGGTACCTGGGCAGGGAGCGAGAGGTTGGATGGGCCGAGACCCAGCACCCCATCGGAGCGAGCAGGGGAGATGGCGAGATCCCCCTCCTGGTCGTATGCACAGCTGGTTGTGGGGTGTGGGGATGGGGGGAAGGGTGGGAAAGGGGGGACAAGGGAAAGGGGGGACACGGGAAAGGGGGGACACGGGAAAGGGGGGACACGGGAAAGGGGGGACACGGGAAAGGGGGGACACGGGAAAGGGGGGACAAGCGTAGGAAAAGGGGAAAGTGATGAGGTGTGGGTGCAGGGGAGACGTCGAGATCCCCCTCCTAGTCGTAGACACAGCTGGTTTTGGGGGGGAGGCAGGGCAGGGGCAATGGGGAAAGGGGACGAGGTAGGAGGGAAGTGAATGTTGCAGGTAGTGGAAGGGAGACGTGTCTTGAGACGTCTCAAAACACTTCTTCAAACATGTTGCAGGTAGTGGAAGGGAGACGTGTCTTGAGACGTCTCAAAACACTTCTTCAAACATGTTGCAGGTAGTGGAAGGGAGACGTGTCTTGAGACGTCTCATAACACTTCTTCAAACATGTTGCAGGTAGTGGAAGGGAGACGTGTCTTGAGACGTCTCAAAACACTTCTTCAAACATGTTGCAGGTAGTGGAAGGGAGACGGTGAGATCTCCCTCCTGGTCGTATGCACAGCTGGTTGTGGGGGCAGAATGGGACGGGTGGAGCAAGGCGGAATGGGACGGGTGGAGCAAGGCGGAATGGGACGGGTGGAGCAAGGCGGAATGGGAAATGGCTGCTTGTAATTGGAAAGGAGGTTGAGAGCAAAAGCTCCTTCCTGGTCGTACAACCAGAAAAGTGACAAAATATAACAGAATCATATGATGCTTATAACTATTTGATATAATCTCACCCGAATGTGAATTGCGCGGCCTTGAGTGTGCCCGAGGGGTGCAGGAACAGTAACCTATCCGTTACAAGCACACCCTGGGAGCTGCTTCCGTCTGCGTACACTATGTCATAGTCACACTGGCCGCTGCTGCTGCTGTCACCCTCGTTATTGTCACTCCGGTTGCTGTCACCAGCACCACCAGCAGCACTAGCAGCACCTGCTGCAACGCTGCTGGTACCGTTCATAACCCCTCTGGACGCCTCTTGTAAATGCCGTGGCTTGGTGTGAACCCCCTCCCCTTCCTTCATCCCCATGCCCCCCTGGACCACTTCCTCAGCTTCGACACCTTCCGAGCCTGAGGAGCAGCCTCGGATGAAGCCTGTCTGTGCGGCTTGGCAGAGGTCGGAACGGCAGTCCACCAGAGAGGCATGGGAGGGGTTGTACCATGGGTTGGGGCCCTGGGGGGAGAGGGGGGGGGGAATGGGAGCACAAAAGAGCAGCATAGGAATGAGCAGGGCTGCAAGGGAGGGGTAAAGAGCAGGCAGAGCATGAGAGAGGCATGGGAGGGATCGTACGATGGGTTGGGGCCCTGGGGGGAGTGGGGGGGAAATGGGAGCACAAAATAGCCGTGTTTTGAGTCGACTCAAAGCATGTAGGAATAATTAGGGCTGCAAGGGAGGGGTAAAGAGCAGGCAGAGCACGAGAGGCGCGTGGGAGGGATTGTACCATGGGTTGGGGCCCAGGGGGGAGTGCGAGGTGGGAGGGGGAAGAGGTGGGTGGGAGTGAGAGTACAGAAGTGGGATGGGGATAAAAGTAAGGGACCAGCAGGGAGAGGCAGTCTACGAGACTGTTAGACATGGTCCAGCGAGCAGCAGTGGAGGAGAAAGTTTAGCAAAGGAGAAAACAGGTGTTGTAGACGCAGGGATAAAAGTAAGGTAAGGGACCAGCAGGGAGAGGCAGTCTACGAAAGAGGCATGGGAGGGATCGCACCATGGGTTGGGGCCCTGAGGGGTGGGGGAACGCAAGGAGAGCAACGTGAGCAAGAGGAAATGAGAGGAGAGGGGAGGAATGGCGTTCCCTGCGTGAGTGGCAGTCTACGAGAGAGGTGTGGGAGGGATCATACCATGGGTTGGGGCCCTGGGGGAAAGGGGGGGAGGGGGGTAAGGAAATGAGAGCAGAGAAGTGGAACAGGGAGAAGAGAAGAGAGTATGCTGAGCGCAACAGAGTCCCACCTGAGCGCAACAGAGTCCCACCTGAGCGCAACAGAGTCCCACCTGAGCGCAACAGAGTCCCACCTGAGCGCAACAGAGTCCCACCTGAGCGCAACAGAGTCCCACCTGAGCGCAGTTCACGCAGGGAGCATCGCACGCCACCCAGGAGACATGGCTTCCCGTGTCTATGTCGAGAAAGTAGGTGCGGGGGGGGGTGCCGAGACCCACTGCTATGTAGTAGAGCCTGGGGTAAGGGGAGAGACGAGGAGAAAGGGAAAATAGGTATACTGGCATGTCTGGAGCAGCATGTGACTGCCCGTGACTATGTCGAGGGAATAGGTGCGGGGGGGCGTGCCAAGTCCCACTGCTACGTAGTATAGCCTGGTGGGGGGGCGATAGGAAAGGGATGGGGGCGGAATAGGGGAGGGATAGGGGGCGGATAGGGGCAGGGACTGTGGAGAGGGGAGGGATAGAAGAGGTGGGAGTGGTTTGCGGAGACAGGATGGGAAAGTGACAAGCCATCCAGGGCACAGATGGCTGGGCGTGTGTATGTGGAGGAAATAGGTGCGAGGAGAGGAGGAGACATGAGGAAAGAAAGGGGAAATAGGAGAGACTGGCTTGTCTTCCCGTGGCTGCCCAGGACACCCATATCCACCCATCCCCACCCATCCCCACCCATCCCTCCTTTCTCCCTCTCACCCTTCCAGGAAGATACGCCATGAATGCGAGTCACTGCCGCCGACCCGCCATACTTCATTGATGTATACATCCCCCCAGGCCCCACACCCATCCCCCCAGGCCCCACACCCATACCCCCAGGCCCCACACCCATCCCCCACACCCATCCCCCACACCCATCCCCCACACCCATCCCCCACACCCTCCCCCCACACCCATCCCCCACACCCATACCCCCACATCTCTCACCCCCTCCCTCTCACCCCTCGGGGAAGATGCGCCCATGAATGCGAGTCACTGCCGCCGACGACCCCTTGACCAATCGCAGCCCGCCACCTGGCACTGTGGCACCTGCTGCTGTCGCCACTGCTGCACTGTGCTGCCTGCTGCGCACCTGATAAGGGTGGGGGGGAGAGATGAGATAGGCAAGGGGGAGAGAGAACGAGCAAGAGAGGGCAGACGAAGGAAGGTGGCATTTGAGAGAGAAAAAAAACTGTAACAGATGGAGAGACTTCTTACCCAAACTCTCACCTGAACTCTCGCCTGAACTCTCACCTGAGCCCTCACCTGAATTCTCACCTGAACTCTCACCTGAGCCCTCACCTGAACTCTCACCTGAACCGTCACCTGAACTCTCACCTGACCTTTCATCTGAGCCATCACCTGAAATTTCACCTGAACTCTCACCTGAACTCTCACCTGAACTCTCACCTGAACTTTCACCTGAACTCTCACCTGAACTCTCTCCTCATCTCTCTGCAGCAATCGCCTCAGCCTTCTCAACCCGGCCTCCTCCCTCCACTCCTTCCCCTCCCCCCAGTCCCCCCCTTCCCTCCATCCCCTCTCCCTCCCATTCCCCTCCCCCAACCCCGCCTCCCCCATCTCCCCCCCTCTGCTCCCGCTTCCCGCCCTCCCTTTCCACATTCTTTCCCATGTACGTCGCTCCCTTCTGCCTGCCACGTCATCACCTCCTCTTGAGGCACCTGCGCTATAGTCACTCAGGCTATACTCCCCCCCTCCCATAAGAGACTCTTCGTTAGAAACACCATCGTTCCCTTCTTCCCCACTTCCCCCGACGTCTCCCCCTCCCCTTCCCCCTCTCCTTCCCCCTCCTCCGTCTCTCCCGCCTCCCCCGCACCGCGATTCCCACTGCGCGAATTCCGCCTCACCCTCAAAATGCGCGCCGAAGCGCGGATTCAGCTGATACACGTGCGCCAGGCCCGTGACAGAGGCGGGACACGTGGCGCCTTCGGATTGGAAGAGGGAGGAGAGCGCTCGAAGGAGATTGGCGGATTGGGGAAAGAAAGGGAAGAAAAGAGAGGGGCAGATGAAGAGGAGGAGGACCAATAGACAAAGGCCAAGTGGCGAATAGCGGCGGATATCTAGTAGCGAATGGGAATAGCTACGAGGTATCAAGGAGGAAAACTGACTGGTGATGGAATGAGGTTCCGATCTGCCGAAAATTCTGGTAACAGATGTGGCTGAAACGCGAGTTCTTGAAGTGCTTGTAGCGGAGCAAGAGCATGAGTATTCGAGGTACGGCGAGAGGAGGAGAGGGACGGGCCGCGGAAGGTAAGAGAAAAATCTCGCAAGAACGAATCGCCAAACACTTCGCGAGGCGTGATGACACGTGGCACTGTGAGCGCGATTCGGAGAGGACGGCGCGGGTGCATCCACGTCGAGTTCGAAAGGCTGGAATCGCGGCGGATCTGGCGGAGACGGCGTGATTAGCGGCGTGATTAACGGAACGGACGCGTCAATCGAGCTGTCGTGCCGCCCTAGCCGTGCTGCCACGACGTCCGCTGCTTCTGCTGACGTGGAAAACAATGTGGATGATGACGTGGCCATGGAGGCATACAGCGCGGGCTCGACGGGCTTCGCCGCGCGGAATGAATTCCGTCGCATACAGACTCAAGAGATAACCTGCAGTTTATATATTTTCTTTCACCCCAACAACAGCCAATGGCGCTTCACGGATGCTCGATTGGAGGCGACGCGACGAGTGCCTGACAACGCGAGCCCAGTACTGCACAGCAACTTTGTTGTCTTCACTAGAACTTTCACATGTGGGATGTGGTGGGATGGGGTGAGATTTCCTGAATAAAATGCGGTTTCGTGAGGTGGGGTAAGGTGAGGTGGGGCGGGGTAGAAGAAGAGGCCCAGACCACCAAGCCGTGCATGCCGCCGGAGCATGGGGGGAAGGGATGAGGGGAGAAAGCAGGGGCAGAGCGGGGGGAAGAGCGGACAACAATCGGAAGGCTTCGATGCGTTTCGTAGGGGGTCTGGGCTTCCGAAAGCCGTCGATGACTATCCTGGGACAATTGGTCTGCGCACCTTGTGAAGGGGAAGGGGGAGAGGAGCACGAAGGGGAAGGGGGAGAGGAGAGAACCGCAAGTGCGGGGCGGGAAGGATGTTTTCGACAGCAACTACGCTGCGCACCAGAATCTTGGGGATTGCCATGAGCGATGTGATTGGTTCATTGACGTGCGGAGGGGCGGTACGAAATTTTTGCACGTGGACCCCTGAGAGGGGCTGGCCCTGAAGTGACGTCTTCGCCAGGAAAGATAGCATTTTCTCGCCACCTTCGCGAAGTAACGGTTTGTGAGGGGTACACTCTACACAAACTCCTTTACAAAACCCGACTCAAATAGGCCTGCTTTTGCTTCACTTTTACAGATCGATGCCACACAATTATAGCACTTGTACGTCAGAGTTTGAGCCTCCCATGTGCCTTAAGATTCAATGCAGGATCCTTTTGCTAAGAGGCCTGCTGCTGCCTACTTCCCCTACTGCTACTGCTTCCCCTACTGCTGCTGCTTCCCCTACTGCTGCTGCTTCCCCTACTGCTGCAACTTCCCCTACTGATTCTGCCCTTGCTGCTGCTGCTGCTGCCGCTGGTGTTGTCCCTATTGCTACTACCTCTGTTGCTGCTGCCCCTGCTTCTGCTGATCTTCCGTTTGGCCAAGCCTAGCAAGCCGCTGCTTGCGAGGAATGTTGTTGCTAGCGGACTGATTCTGCCCTTGCTGCTGCTGCTGCCGCTGGTGTTGCCCCTATTGCTACTACCTCTGTTGCTGCTGCCCCTGCTTCTGCTGATCTCCCATTTGACCAAGCTTAGCAGGCCGCTGCTTGCAAGGAGTGTTGTCATCATCAGATGCAGCAGGGTTGTGAGTGTTGGGAACAATAAGTCTTAAGGCGCCTCTGTCCTGTGGAAACTCAGGACACTAGCGAAGCAGTCCAAATCGAAGCATCGCGAGTCAACCCTCGGAGGTTGGGGTAACCGCCTGGAGGTTACGCGAAGGTCAAAGGTCAGCGACCTTTGACTTGACCAATACAGCGCGACAGCAAGGACACACAACTGACTCGACATTGAGCAGTTGCCCGAGTCGCACTGTATCGAATCGCAACAGTAAAACGGTTCAAATCTATCTACTCGTATTCCTTGTACTCATATATAAACCTTGTATTTGCTTGTTTAATCCAACTTACTTTGCTCTCACATACTAGTGCAAGGTGGTTCAACCACTCTGTATTACAACGCTTCCGCTATTACAATCCTACTCAGTCCTTAAACTCTACAAAGATCCTAGGGCTTCTCAGCCCAACATGGTATGAGAGCAGTTAGAGCTTAAGGTCATTTTCTCTCTCAATACTTAAATACAAAGAAAGAAGACATGTCTGCAAGGAAGGAGAGGAGCTCCTCCAACGGCTCCCCAGGCACTACTCCTACCCCACCACCTGTCTCTGGCCTACAGACAGAGGAAGGCACTACCGCAAGACCAGCTGCTGGGTCCACGGAAACACCAGCAGGCTTCGATTCAAACATGATGGAGAAATTTTTCTCCTTCATGTCCTTCTACGAGCAACACCAGCAAGGAGTGCCTGCGCAGTCAAACAACAGCAACAACAACAACAATGTTACTCCGATGAGCCTCGACGGCTCATCCTATGCACGCGGGATGCAACAACAACAACAGCAGCCTACCTTTGCGCCGTACGAGCCCCAACGTGGCTCCGTCAGCTTCATGCCGCAACCGCAACCTGCATCGGGACAAGAAAGGACATTGGACGCGTTACAAGTCCAATCGCAATTCGCGCACGTCCTAAAACTACAAACGACAAAGCCCTTCGACGGCAAAGATTTCTTTACCTGGTCGTTCGAGTTTGAACTGATGATGGAAGGAGCACAGATTCTTGGCTTCTTCGACGGGTCCCTGCCATATCCGACAAACGGGACACAATATGAGAAGCAGCAGTATACATATCAATCGATGATGGCGTACACAATTCTGCTGAGGAACATCACCCCAACCCAGCAGCAGAACATCAGGACTTACCGAGGCTACGGCAACTCCGCGGAGCTCGCGTACAACCACCTGAAGAACCTGTATCAAGCAACAGACAGCGTAAACCAAAGCAGGTTAATGGCGCAGTTGACAACGATTGAAATGAAACCAGGCGAGAAAGGCATGGCTTATATCAGCCGCTGCCGCGAACTGCGCGACAAGCTTCTTCGATGCGGCGGGTCAATCTCCGAAGACGCCTTTGTCACGGTAGTCATTTGCGGTCTTGGCCCCCACTGGCGTTCCACTCGCGCCATACTCCGAGCACACGGGAGGATCTCCGAAGCGGCACTCTGCGCCGAAATTCATGCTGAGCAGCAGGACATGGACCTGCAAGAAGAAAGACACAAGAAGAAAGCTTTAGCACCACAATTTGCTTTTCACACTCAGCGACGACACAACGGCAACAACAATCGACAACAGCAAGTGAAAACGGTACCTCCGTTCTGCCACATCTGCAAAACCTCGGGCCATCCTCGCACGCATTGCCCGTCTCGTCAGACGACACCACAGCGACAACTGCGGCCTTCAAGTTCCCAAGTTGCTTCAACGCAAGCAAGTCCGACAACCACGATCCAAGCTTCAACGACTTCAACCGGACAACCTGCACAAGGAGCAAGAAGCATCGTCAACTGCATGGTAAAGATTAACGATTCCTGCATTACAAAGTCGCCACCCTACTACTCACCAGAAGAGGAGCTCGACAACAGGACGCCTCGCCGCGAATCACTCCAACCGAATCCGACGTACGCCGCCATCGCTCAAAGCGAGCCGTCCGGCCAAGACACTTGGTTCTTGGATAGTTGCTGCGGACAACACATGTGCTCCTCCGGGTGCTTCGTACAACGCGAACATCGACTCCAGCGAGAAGTAGTCATCACGGTCGCCAACAACCAGAACCTGCGCCCAAGACGACAAGGAGTCGTTCAGCTTCAATCAAGAGAGACCAACGTTATACTACACATGTCAAAAGTACTCATCGCAGAAGGACTCGGTTACAACTTACTGAGTGTTAGCCAGCTGATGACGAAGGGGATTCACTTGGAAGCCGGCAGCACCACCCAGGAATTTAAGTTATACCACGGGAGGGGCGGCCTCTACATCGGGAAAGCAGTGTTGAAGAATAACGTCTTCGTTCTTGACTTCGTCCCCGACCTGGGCACTGCAGACAGCGACGCCATCGTCAACTTTACCGACTGGACACACCCTCCGAACCTCGATCCTGATTTCAGTCCAGGAGGCTTCTGGTACTCACACACCATCCCTGAAGCAGAGCGAACACGAGCATTAGCAACAATTCAACAATCGGCAGCAGCAGAAACAACATCGGCAGCAGCAGAAACAACATCGGCAGCAGCAGAGACAACATCGGCAGCAGCAGAGACAACATCGGCAGCAGCAACAACATCAGCAGCAGTAGGAACAACGACACCAGTCATCGTCGACGAAACACCACCAACACCCGCACAACAGCTGAACCCGACTCAACGAGAAGTCCACCGTAGCGCCAACTTCGTCGCCAGCTTCTACTCCAACTCCGACGCATATCAACGTTCACCCGGACACCGCGCCTCCGAAGACATCTGGCACGCACGCACAGGACATCCAAGTAACACGGTGTTAAATAACACGATACGAGCAGGAGTGGTAGACAAAGACTCGCTACTACTACTCGACGGCAGAGAACTTCAACGTGCACGGGGGACTTGCCTCATCTGCCCCGAGGCCGACTTACCACATCGACCTTTTTCTTCTCACCACAACCCGAGCGCACCTGCATACGCACCACTCGAAAAAGTCTACAGCTACATCCTCTACAATCGAGAACCAGGCCAAGTAACCTATAATTACACGATTACCTTTATCGACGCCGCCACTCGATACGTCTGGCATCGCAACCTACCCGGCCGCGACATGGCACTCGCAGCATTCGCTGCTTGGCTACCGGTAGCAGAAAGGGAATCAGGAACGCAGCTGAAAAGCTTCCAGTCAGACGGAGGTGGCGAATACACCTCTCAGCGCTTCAAGCAGTACCTGGCGGAAAGGGGGATCAAGCAACTCCTCTCCCTTCCCTACGCACATCAGCAGCAGGGTGTTGTAGAAAGAATGAATAGGACCCTGCAGAACAGCATGCGCAAACTACTACGTGGCATGCGGCTACCCAACCACCAGTGGCCAGCAGCAATGGACCATGCTGTCATGCTGCACAACTTGCTTTCGTCGTCGTCACTCCCGAACAACGCATCACCGCATCTGCTGTGGACAGGAAAGCAGGGCAGCACAAAAATGTTACGAGTATTTGGGTGCATGGTACAGTACCGACCCCCAGAAGCACGAGCGGGAAGATTTTCGCAACGGGCACAGTGGGGACTACACCTTGGCATCGAGAAAAATTACAACGCGTGGAGAATCTTCGACGTCCACACAAAAGAAACAGTAGCAGCACGTGATGTGATCTTCTACGAACGACTCACCCTTCAGACGTACCTTGCCAACTTGCACGAGAATCGGGACCCCACAGGTGGCTTTCGTGGTGACCGAGCCTTCGCCACAGCAGCGGACGAAGCAGACTGGGATGAACAGAACGTCGACAACGCATCGGAGGAAGCCGGACCTCTCCCGTACTGCTCCGTCGATGTGCCCATGGATGAAGATAATCTTCGCGACAGTAACAACGCCGAAGTCTTCTACCACTTCGCCGACAACGGTTACGTAACACTTGCGACAGTCAACAGCAACGAAGCAGAAAGGATAGGGCCAAATTTCATTCCCGACCCAGAAGCGGGAGACGAAGCAGCTTATCCCGAGGATCCAGAACTCCCTCGATACTCACAGACTGGGCTACAAATCCTTGGCCTCGTCACCGCAGTCCACGGGACCGCTGGCAACACTCTTCCTAAAGAGCCTGCGACAGTTCAGCAGGCTCTGGGGGGGGAACACTGGGAAAAATGGCGTGAAGCCATGGACAGGGAATTAAAGGCATTAGAGGAACGCAACACCTGGAAGGTCGTTCCCGCAAGCGTGGCACGGAACAAGACCATTCTCACCGGGAAATGGGTCTTCCGCATCAAGACGAAAGCTGACGGCACAATCGAAAAGTTCAAAGCACGCTGGGTCGTGCGTGGATTCGACCAGGAACAAGGACGAGACTTCACCGAGACCTTCGCCCCAGTTAGTCGACATACCTCTCTCCGCATTCTTCTCGCCGTCGCCGCCATGAAGAAGAAGAAGCTGCGACAGATCGATGTCGCCAACGCATTCCTCTACGCACCCGTCGACGCAGACATCTTCGTCGAGCTCCCTCACGGTACCCACGGGGAACCCAATCAAGTCTGCCAACTGCTAAAGTCCCTCTACGGAATCAAGCAGGCCCCACGGCTGTGGCAACAGCACCTGCACAGCCGCCTCATCCGCATCGGATTCCGCCAACTGCCCCATGACCAGGGCATGTACCGACTCACTAAAGGCGCCAACTACATCCTACTCATCGTCTATGTCGACGATCTCCTCTACATCGGCTCCACCGACGACGTCACCACCTGGTTCGAAGGGGAGCTGCAGAAAGATCTCACGCTCACGGTTTCTTCTACCGTCACGCAGTACCTTGGACTCAACATCCGCAAAGAAGAAAACGCAATCTATCTAAGCGCCGAGAAATACGCCGACACGATCGCCAAGCCCTTCTCGCTCACCCCTACCGCTATCGCCACGCCATACCGCTACACGGCAGGAAACGGCCAAGGAAACTCCACCCTACTAAAAACCGCCGGAATACGCGACTACCTGCGAAAACTGGGCTGTCTGCTCTTCGCAGCCGTCACCTGTCGCCCAGACCTGTCCTACTCCGCTAGTCAACTCGCTACCTACCTCAAGAGGCCTGAAGCAGATCACATGTCAGAGCTCGATCGCCCACTGCACTACTTCGTGAGCACACCGACGATCGGCCTAACTTACTACAAGGGCGAAGCTACAACGACGAAACTAATCGGCTACGTCGATGCTGACCATGCCGGCGATTCTGATAACAGGCGTTCTCGTACCGGCTACGTCTATCGTCTCGAGCCTATCGGGCCTATCTCCTGGCAGTCGAGTAAGCAGGAACTAATCGCTCTTTCTTCAGCTGAAGCAGAATATATCGCCCTCTGCTCAGCCACCAAGGAAGGACTCTACCTTCGCGAACTGCTGGAAGAAGCAAAGTTAGCTGAGTTACCCAGCTTCACCCTGCACTGCGACAACCAATCTGCAATTCGCATCGCCAACAAAAACGGATTCGCGAACAAAACGAAGCATATCGCTCTGCGATACTTCTTCGTGAAAGATGAGATCGAGAAAGGAAGACTCGAGTTATCTTACTGTCCCACGTCCGAGATGGCAGCCGACTATTTGACCAAGAAGCTCGGAAAACAGAAGTTCGAGTACTGCATGCTGCTGACTGGACAAGGCCACGTCACCATCAGCGACACTCCAGAAGCGAAGGGGAGTGTTGGGAACAATAAGTCTTAAGGCGCCTCTGTCGTGTCGAAACTCAGGACACTAGCGAAGCAGTCCAAATCGAAGCATCGCGAGTCAACCCTCGGAGGTTGGGGTAACCGCCTGGAGGTTACGCGAAGGTCAAAGGTCAGCGACCTTTGACTTGACCAATATAGCGCGACAGCAAGGACACACAACTGACTCGACATTGAGCAGTTGCCCGAGTCGCACTGTATCGAATCGCAACAGTAAAACGGTTCAAATCTATCTATTTGTATTCCTTGTACTCTTATATAAACCTTGTATTTGCTTGTTTAATCCAGCTTACTTTGCTCTCACATACTAGTGCAAGGTGGTTCAACCACTCTGTATTACAACGCTTCCGCTATTACAATCCTACTCAGTCCTTAAACTCTACAAAGATCCTAGGGCTTCTCAGCCCAACAGTGAGCAGCTGAACCAGCCGGGCTAGGTCCGGGAGAGAGCCACCCGCCGAGCCCAGACGAATGCAGCAGGCTGGAAACTGCTGCTGCGGCTGCTGTGGCCGGTGTAGCAGCAACGCCATTCGCACTGGCATCAGCATCAGCAGCAGAAGCAGAAGCAGCGGACTGAGCCTGAGCCTCGCGTTTCGAACGCAAGGCCTCATTATGTCTCGCCATTGCCTTTGCTGCTGCCTCTCGAGGAGACTTGGGGATTTCTGTGTCCCCTCCTGCTGCTCGCATCCCCGCGTTGTGTCTCGCCATTGCCTCTTCTGCAGCCTCTTTCTGCCCCCCTCCCCTCCCGGACGACACCCCTCGAGGAGACCTGGGCAATCCTGCGTCTCCTCCTGATGCCCCCACTTCTCTTGCTGCTCCTCTTGCTGCTCCTCTTGCTGCTCCACCTGCTTCTTCCCCTGCGGCTGCTGCTGCTGCTGCTGCTGCTTCTCGGATCATCAACCCTCCTCCTCCTGTTCCTCTTGGGCTTGGGACGGTGCTGCTTGGATTTACGGAGCTGAAGCTCCTTCTGCTGAGGATGCCTTGGGTGGGGGGGTTCCAAGAGACCATGTCCCCTCCTCTTGGGGACTTGGGAACCCCAGTCCCTCCTCCTGTTCCTCTTGGGCTTGGGACGGTGCTGCTTGGATAAGCTGTGCTGAAGCTTCTGCCGCTGAGGATGCCTTGGGTGGGGGGGTTCCAAGAGACCATGTCCCTGCTGCCCACCACCCCTCGAGGAGACTTGAGCACCCCTCTTGGGGACCTGGGGACCCCTGTTTCCCCCCCTCTTGGGGACCTGGGCACCCCTGTTTCCCCCCCTCTTGGGGACCTGGGGACCCCTGTTTCCCCTCCTGTTGTTCCCCCTTTGACACCAGTAGGAGATTTGATACTGGTGGGGGATTTGATACCAGTGGGGGATTTGATACCAGTGGGGGATTTGATACCAGTGGGGGATTTGATACCGATGGGATAAGATCTGCTACTGATGCGGGTAGAAATGGCAATGCTACCAGACCCATAGCTGGTACTCCTACCCACACTCTTGCTCATATCCTTGCTCAAGCTAACTCCTCCCGAAACCCTATTCGTAATCCCACCAGTGTCCAAATCCATGCTCACACCTAGTCTCCTGCCAGCGCCTGTGCCTCTGCTGTTGCTGCTGCTAGTGCTGCTAGTCCTGCTGGTGGTGCTGCTGGTGGTGCTGCTGGTGGTGCTGCTTCTGCCAATTACTGCCACTCGCTTCACCTCATCAGCCATTCCCTTCCCTCCATTTCCCTCTCCTCCTTCCCTTCCCTTCCCTTCTTGCCCTCTCCCTTTCCCTTCCTTCCCCCTCTCTTCCTCTCCTCCTGTCCCTCCGCTCCTTCCTCCATCCCCCCCTCTCTCTCCTCCCCCTCCTTTCAACCCAGAAGAAAATGCCACAGTTCGTGGAGACAGCAACCCCCCCTCGTCTCCTCCTCTCCCTCCCCTCCTTGACCCACCCCCCTCTCTCACTCCTTCCCCTTCTCCTCCATTCATCCCAGAAGCAAGCGACACTGCTCTAGGGGGAGGAGACAGTAACCCTCCAACCCCCTCTCTTCTCCCTCCCCCCCCTCCTCCATCCCTCCTCTCCCCTTCCCCCTTCATCCCAACCGTAAACGATGCTACTGTAAGTGACAATCCCCGTCCCTCCTCTCCTCCTCCGCCTCCCCACCCTCTCCCCCCCCCATTCCTTCTCTCCCACACACTCAAGCCCTCCTCTCTACGCCCTGTGCTCGCTATAGCCACTCCTCTCCCTCCGTCTTTGCCGCTCCCCATAACCCACGCATTCACGCCGAAGTCAAGGCTGGAAAACGACTGGCACTGCCTGTGCCTGGTCATACCACTGCCCCCACTACCTGAAATTTCACCTGACGATGCCCAGCCACCTGAATTTCCACCACCTGAAACCCCATCACTGCCAGCAGCAGCGGCGGCAGCAGCACGAGCAGCAGCAGGAGCGGCAGCAGCGGCAAGAGCAGCAGCAGGAGCAGCAGCGGCAGCAGCAGCAGAAGCAGCCCTGAAGATTTCAGTTCTTCCCCTCTCCCCATCCCGTCCCGGGATGGCAAACCGTGCTTTGCTGCTCATCACACCCTCTTCCCATCCCGTCTCCTCTTCTCGTCGCGCCCTCAGTTGCTCCACTCCCCCCGTTTGCCCCGGATTTTCCCCGCCACCCGCCTCCCCCCTGTCGTCTTCTCCAGGTACATTGAACCTGACCACTTTAGGCTGCGCCTCAAACATTGCCTGTCCAGATACACTGAACCTGAGCTTTTGAGGCTGTGCCTCAGGAAACGCCTGTCCCGGTGCATCTGAGCCAAAGTCAAAGCCGGAAAACGACTGGCACTGCCTGTGCCTGGGCCTCCCACCGGTACCACCTAGTGAAACCCCACCTGAAATTTCACCTACTGAAACCCCACCTGCAACGGCACCACCTGTAATGTTACTAGCACCAGCGGCAGGAGCAGCAGCGGCAGGAGCAGCAGCAGCAGCAGCAGGAGCAGCAGCAGCAGCAGGAGCAGCAGCAGCAGCAGCAGGAGCAGCAGCAGCAGCAGGAGCAGCAGCAGCAGCAGGAGCAGCAGCAGCCCTTGGAGATTCATTGAACCTGGACTGTTTTTGCTGCTCGAGTGCAGACAAGGAGTGAGAGACCACAGGAGCAGCAATCGGAGTGAACTCTTCCTCATCCTCCTCTTCCTCCTCCTCCTCTTGTCCTCCTTCCTCCACTTCATTCCTCCTCCAAAGAAGCACAGGGGAGTTGGATGGTGAAACGGCCACAGCAGTTGCTATAGGCGTGGCAATCGGAGTAAGCTCATCACCATCATCCCCATCATCCCCAGCATTGCTCTCCTGACTTTTGGGTCCATACAAAAGTCTCGGCATGGCAATCGGGGTAAACTCATCACCATCCTCATCCTCCTCCTCCTCCTCCTCCTCCTCCTCCTCCTCCTCCTCCTCCTCCTCCTCCTCCTCCTCCTCCTCCTCCTCCTCCTCCTCCTCCTCCTCCTCCTCCTCCCCCTCCCGAATTTTGAGTCCACTCAAAATTTTTGGCGTGGCAATCGGAGTAAGCTTTTGAAATTTCTTCAAAGCACCGACCGATCTTTCATCTGAACTCGCATCGGAAATCCCATGGCTTTGGCACACACTCATCCCACCGGTTACCCCCCTCCTTTTTCCTCCTCCTCCTCCTCCTCCTCCTCCTCCTCCTCCTCCTCCTCCTCCTCCTCCTCCTCCTCCTCCTCCTCCTCCTCCTCCTCCTCCTCCTCCTCCTCCTCCTTTTCCTCCTCCTCCTCCTCCTCCCCCTCCTCCTCCTCCTCCTCCTCCTCCTCCTCCTTTTCCTCCTCCTCCTCCTCCTCCCCCTCCTCCTCCTCCTCCTCCTCCTCCTCCTCCTTTTCCTCCTCCTCCTCCTCCTCCTCCTCCTCCCCCTCCTCCACCACCACCAATTGTCCTCAGCTCCAAATACCCAGAAAAGGACGAGAAACGCCGCCTCACTTTACGGGCCCGAGTAACCTCCCTCGGTGTTCCCGAACCTCCAGTAGCGAACCCAGCCGCGCCTTGCCAATGCCCTGAGGTTCGGTTCGAACCTCCGAGTTCCGTACCTCCATCACAACCACCTGCCGAGCCTTCGTCTCCCGAACCTGGAAGCAACATACCGAACTCAAAGCTGCTTTGGCTTGTGGGTCGAGATGATTCGTGAGAAGCAGTACTGGCAGGTTCGGGAGCAACAGCAGCAGCTGCAGCAGAATCAGAAGCAGCAGCAGCAGCAGCAGCAGCAGCAGCGCTACCAACAGAAACTGCATAATCGGCAGAAGCAGCAGCAGCAACATCATCAGCAGCAGAAGCAGAATCAGCAGCAAAAACATCTCTTGCAGGAGCGGCTGTATCGGCCCCTGGGTTAGAGTCAAAAGCAAAGCTGCGTCTGAAGCTGCTCCCTTCCTCCCCTCCCTTGCCTTTTCCTTTCTTGCCCCCTCTTTCTCCTTTCTCCTCTCTTCTCTCCTTCCCCCCTCCACTGAACCAGCTCGAATCTGGACTTCCTAATTCCAATGCACTCCGTTCCTCCTCCTCACCCCCTTCATCCTCGCTAAGAAACCTCTCACTATCACCACAACCACCTTCTTCCAAAACACCAACATCAGAATCACCCTTATAGAGCCGCAGCAACCTCTTTCGTTCACTAGCCAGTGTGAAGCGTAAACCCATCTCAACTCCTGCGCACCCCCCACCCCCATTTACCCCGCCTTCTTGCCCACCTATCCTTGCCTTACGAGGCACATCAAAAGCCGTCTCACTCCCACTCACCCCTCCCCCTTGCACACCCTTTCTTGCAATATGAGAAGTCTCAACACCCACCCCACCCCCATCCACCCCCATCTCAAAGCCCATTACACCCCCATCCAGGCTCAATTTCCTTCTGCCTTTCCAAGCTTTTTGAAGCAGCGTCTCACAATTGCTGGTCGCCTTCTTCTTGCTGCTCACACAACTGCTGCCACTGCTGCTGTTTCTGCTGCTGGTGCAGTTTAAATCGCTGGTGACGCTAGTGGTGGTGGTGCTGCTGAAGGAGGAGGAGGAGGAGGAGGAGGAGGAGGAGGAGGAGGAGGAGGAGGAGGAGGAGGAGGAGGAGGAGGAGGAGGAGGAGGAGGAGGAGGAGGAGGAGGAGGAGGAGGAGGCGGAGGAGGAGGGAGTGGGAACGGAGGAGGGGGAGAGGGTGACAGGGATACAGGCATCCGTGACAGAGAGAGCACGTCTATGCCTTCCCCTTCCACTGCCACTGCCACTGCCACTGCCACTGCCACTGCCACTGCCACTGCCACTGCCACTGCCACTGCCACTGCTACTGCTACTGCCCTGCCTCCTTGCTTCGCCCACCCCTGCCACTCCACACGCTACACCTGCACCCTCTTCTCTCTCTCCATTCCCGCTCTCTTCCCCTCTTCCTCTCCCACTCTCTCCCCCTCCTCCCTCCTTACTCTCTCCCCCTCCTCCCGAACGCGTTTCAGCACCCTCCTGTTCTAGAGAGGACGTCCCATGACCAGTCATAGCCCCAGCAGCTATGCTGATGCTAGTCGTGCCACTATGGAGTGTGCTAGTAACGGAGCTGCTGCTATTGAGTGTGCTAGTAACGGGGATGCTGCTATTGGCCGTGGGAGGGGAGGGAGGGGAGAGAGGAGCCGGAACAGGGCGAGGGGAACGAAGGAGAGGGGAGGAGAGAGGGGAGGAGAGCGGGGAGGAGAGACGGGAGGAGAGAGGGGAAGAGAGAGGGGAAGAGGAGGAGGAGAGGTGAGGGAAGATGGAACGGTCAAGAGAGGAAGAGGCAGGGATAGAAGGGCCAGGTAGCTTGGGAAAAGAAGGCTTAGGAATGAGAAGAGATAGCTTTTGAGAATTCTCAAAAGTGTCAAGAGAGGAAGAGGCAGGAAGAGGGCCAGGTAGCCTGGGGAATGAAGGCTTGGGAATGAGAAGCCGCCAATCCTTGCCTTTGCTTCTGCTGCTGCTGCTAGTGCTGCTAGCGTTCTCCTCTCTCACTCCCTCCTCTCTCACTCCCTCCTCTCTCACTCCCTCCTCCCTGACTTTCATCTCTCCATACGAGCACTCCTCGTTCTCACCTTTTCCGAACTTATCCCCATCAACACCATCAGCATCACCATCAGCATTAGCATCACCGTCAGCATCACCATCGTTTTTTCCAGCCCAATTAGTCCCCTTTTTAAACAGCTTCCTTAAAATTCCTTTCTTTGCCCTCTCGTCATTCGAGTTACTTAAAACTCTTGAAGTGTTGCCGCCCTCTCTCTTTCCACTCTGCTCACCTTGCTCCACTCTCTTCGCCTTCTCCTCACCATAGGAGTGGCTCTTGATTACTCTCATCACCTTTCCGTCTCCCTCTCTCTGTTCACTCCTCCCTTCTTGCCCCTCCTCCGCCCTCCCGTCCCCAACTTCATCCTTCCTCATCTCCCTCCCCACCCTTCCCTCCTCCGTTTCCCCCTTCCCCTCCTCCTTCTCCTCCCTACCGCCGCCACGCACTGTAAAATGAAACCTGCCCTTCGACATCCCAGATCTATCCTCCTTCACCATCTCTCCTCCTCCTTTGTCCTTCTCGCTTTCCTCTTCCTTCCCTCTAAGTGTTTTACTTACCAGCCCCAACCCCCGCCCCAAACTGCTCTTCTTAAACCTGGACTTGCTAAGTTGTGGCGACCCGTACCTTCCGGATGGATCTGCTCCGTTGTAAGCAGATTCGGAATCGCTTTGTGGTGATCCTGTCCCATCATAAGTCATGTCTAGCAATACAGGGGACGAAGAGGATCGAGTGTGATAGATACGAGATGGTAAGCTTCCCTTTGCCTTGCCCCTCTCCTTCTCTCTTCCCTTTTCTCCTCCTCCTCTTCCTCCTCCGCCTCCTCCTCCTCCTCCTCCTCCTCCTCCTCCTCCTCCTCCTCCTCCTCCTCCTCCTCCTCCTCCTCCTCCTCCTCCTCCTCCTCCTCCTCCTCCTCCTCCTCCTCCCCCCTCCTCCCTCACACCAACAGCAGCCAATGCAGCAGCAGCAGCGCCAGGAAGCACAGTCCCAGACGCCTTTCTAACCATCTCTTGCGCACCGTAAGGTTCGGAAAGTGGGACGCACACCACACTGCCTGCCACGTGGCACTCCGCGGAGCCGCCACGTGTGCGCTCCAACGATTCCCGAAGCTGGCTTAGAAGCATTTCATCTTTCTGGTTTTTGTCCGCTGACTGCTGCTGCTGTTGCTGAGTTGGCATGAAGGCAAACCCATGGGCTTCTTTCCAGGCTGAATGTGCACCGTTGATTACGGAGATCGTACGGCTGAGAGTCGCAGGCTTCTCCCGAAAGGAAATGGAGCAGGGAAGGTCGACTGGATGGGAGGAAGAGAGGAAAGTGTTGTGAGGGGATATGCGGGGGTTAAAGCGGTTGGAAAGAGGGGGAAATGGGGCAAGGCAGAGCAGTATGGAATGAGGTGAGGGACAAAATGGAAGGTAACAAGTGTTGCGTGGATTTTTGGCATTGCATTGCACATTTTAGAAGGGAACATGCAGTGATTTCGGTTCCTATAAAGAAGGGAGGTGGAATGGGAAAGACAAAGCGCACAGAAATTGCATTTGTGTATGATGAATCACTGAATGATGAATCTTGCTTCGCGAATCTCGCCAAACTCACACGGCGACAAGCATCCTCGAAACTTGAGCCACTCGCGAATCTCCTCCAGACTCCTCGTGATGCGATCGTCGCCATCGTCGCCATCGTCGCATTCACTTGCGTCCCACTCGTTTCTGTCACCATCACAGGTTCGACGGCCGCCCTCCGAATCAATGTCGCTCGTTACAATCACAGTCCAGCTCGTGTGAAGGTTCGGGCTAACCACCAGAAACGACAAAAGAGCCTTCACCAGATACACCTGCCCCACTTCCACCCGCGCTCCCCCGATATCCACCACCTCTAGCGGTCCGTGTACGCTTCCCCCCGTAACGCTTCCGCCAAACGAGCGCTTTTCCGCCGTCCCCCCCCGCGCTTATCGAGCGCGGGGTCAAGAGGCCGCTTCTGCCGTCGACGCGGCCGCAGCCATCGCTGTCGCAATCAGAACTATTTGTAGTAGGACTGGCGTTGCTAAAAGTACCGTCGATATCGAAGCAGCGGCAGGTTTGCGGGAGGAAGCCGACGTTCCACTGAAGGTTGTGATTATAATGAAAGGGAAGATCGTCTCCGCGCACGCGCAGCGGATGGTGCGGAGGCTCCGCCACCGCCAGCTCCACCTGCGCCCACGTGCCGCGCGGAACGGCGCAAACCATTCGGAAAAATCCGCCGCCCGCGGGTGCTCCCGCCGAATCGGCGGAGGAGCCGCTAGTGACCGCGGGCCTTGCAGGCGTTTGAAGCGCGGGAAAGAGTGTAACTCCTGCGGAAATCAAGATATTTTTGTCTAGATTGGGCGCTAGTAGCCGTCTATCGCCGACCCCTGTTTCCGTCCTCGGCGCGGCATTTGAGGCATCAGCGGCGGCGGCGGCGGCGGCGGCGGAGGAGGAGGAGGCGGAGAGGCGCAGCGGGACCTGGTGCCATGGGGAAAGGGGGACGACGACGAGGTCTTGCGCCGGCGATGGCCCCGGCCGCGCGGGCGAAAGCGGAGAAGCGTACCTTCCGCGCTTCGCCTTCGAAGTGCCCTTGGGAGTCTGTGACGCCGCGAATGGCGGTGCGGACGAAGTGCTTATACCAGTACCACTACCCGCAGCAGGTGACGACGGGCTTTGTGGCGGGACGGCGAGTCGCGTCGCGTTCAGGAGGAACTTTCTGTATAAGAGCGACCCCGGAGGGCCGATCTCGACTGCAGCGTACTCCATGGCTCAGTGGGACCGCGGCTTGTAGCCGCTACTCGTCCCAATGCGACAGTGGGACCGCTTAGCTGTTTCTGGTCGGCTTGAAATTCGCTCGAACACGCAGCGCCTCAAAATTCGCTTGGCTGTTTCTGGTCGTCTGATTCAATTAAAAGTTTTTAGAAAGGTCCCCAAAAAACGCATGACTGTGTCACAGCGGGAAGAATGTGCTTTAATTGGAATTCTGAGGCCCGTCAAGGAAGCTACGTGTTCTATTGAGAGATGCTGTCATCCCGAAACGCGGTACAAAACTACAGTCCTAGCCGCAAACGTCTGAGCCGGCGTGTCAAGCCCAGGTGGACTTAAGTCAACGGCTGCGTATTTCTCGACGAAATGCGGATCGCTGCGATCGAGCTGCTCAGATTCTTCGATGAATGCGGCTCAGATTAGCTCAACCACAACTGAGTGCTATGTCTCTCTTCTGTTACTTGTGAGAAGTAATAAACTGAATAAGCAACGCAAGCAAGAGGCTTAGCACACAGGCAATATCGCAAGGTGCAATGGCACCAAACTACGCACGGCTGATGATATGAGACGCACCTGCTCTCCTCCCTTCGCTTGACTCAGCTACTGCAGCAAGAGCTGGCAAGAGAAACCAGACAATTTCGTCGAGTGGAGAGGAGTTTATGGGGACGTAGCCAGACATTAGTCGAATCGAGCCAAGAGAGTATGGGAGAGGGACAGCTGCAGTCTGATCAGCTAAATACTGGTTTTGGTAATAGCGAGTGGTACAAAAACCGTACAGTACGGTATCCTCTTGCGCTGCTCTCGAAACGAGCGTACCTCACGAGACCGAACTAATTACACGTTCGACCGTGCTAATTTGCGAACCGCCTGACAGCTCCCTCTGGGAGTAGCAGCGCAGGCAAAATTGCGCGATGCGCCGACACGCGAACTTTTTTTGAATTCTTTTAACCAAGATCGCAGCGGAGGTAGGGCGACCAAACCACTCGCAAATGAATCAACCAACAAACGATTTTGCGATATTGACAGCCAATTATATGTGTAAGAATTGGTTGTCTTCCAAAATGTCACTGTTTCGCGTGGGATAATAATTGCCAGGTGGTTTTCGTGTTTTTGGTAAGAACAAGGTCGCAATTGTAGCTACATTGCCGTGACCTTACAAGTTTCGGTTGTTTTGTCTGTTTCTGATGGCGCAAAAATGTTTAATGCGCGTGTCACGTTTTTTGTCTACATGCTTAGTTTTTCTCGCCGCGTGTCGCGATTTTCTTTAACATCTACGGAGCTCTGAAAGAGCAGGGGCTGAAAAAAAAAACCCTAAAGGCAGGAACGCAATTCGGGAGGCATCAACCCTAAACACGGGAAGCATAGTGTTTAGGGTTAATGCCTTTAATGTGGTGCAATCTGGGTGGATCAACCCTAAACCCCCCTAAACGTCAAGATGTTTAGGGTTGATGCATTATATGTGTGCCTGGCTCCCTACGGGGTTTAGTTCGTTTTACACCGTAAAAAATACCCAACCAAACAAAAAAAACATAAGACAAGCCTTGTGTGCACGACCAGACTGAATTGATTAACACGTCGCAAATTTTGTCTTTGATAAAAGGATTCGAAACCCCAAGCTGTAATCCCGCGATTCTGGCTGTAAAACAAAATTGCACCTGTGATCCCATATTACCACGTCCGCAGCAAGAAATTATCGTAAAATTGCGTGTAAATCAAACCATTTGGACGAGGTTTGGTCGCCCTACCTGCGGTGCGAGTTTGGTTAATAGGGTTAAAAATGTTCGCGCGCCGGTGCGTCGCGCAATTTTGCCAGCAGCGCAGCACAACAGGTTCACGATTACAGCTGTCACCGCTCGAATATGTTTACACATGATGCTCAACCCCTGTACGCGAATTTGCCCTGAACCGGATGGAAACTCCGCACCCGGAATTTTTTCTCAGCCAGTTGCACCCATGTTACAAGCACGTCGCGCAATGCAGTGGTTCGGAGACAATAGTAACGAACAGACCGAAGTCAAACTTTAGAGACTGAAGTCAAAATGAAAACATATAAGTTACAAATATTTATAAGCACCTTACACTTCCTTTTTGGCTAGCTGCAAATTGACAAAACTTATGCGAAATGCAAAAACAGCTTAAGTTCCCCCTTCACAAGGCAACCAGGAGTGGCTCAAACGAGCATCATTTGTAGTCTAAATACTGATCAGGACCTACCGTACATTTTGACATTTCTCGACAGAAATCACATCCAACAACACTTTTAAAAGTGTGTCATTCTTAATAGATATGCGAAATGGTATTTCCTCTCTTTAAGTGGGTTTCCGTTGTACAACCATAATGTCACAGCGGGCACAAGGCTAGCACATCGCTCAACGCAAAATGGAAAGCAAAAACAAATTACAGCCAAACAAGTGTAATTTGTAACCGTACAGCCCTTTTGAACACTACACAGGATGCTCAGCAGATGTACGCGAATTTGGTCGGATATACTTGACAGCCTGCCCAACAGCATTTAGTACCAGCCAGTTGCACGCACGATACAAGCCCCTATTTTGATCGTAGCCATTCAACATACAGCTTATCACGCTGGCATCCGTCCGTTCGTGAGTGAAGAAGCTGGTTACATTTCCGCACCTCCCACTACAGTCTCGATTTTGCCCGTTACGAATGTCGACGAGCAGTTGAAATATTTGTTGTCCAATAAACATCTGAATGACGAGTTGCGTTGTAGGTAGTAACGAACATCTGGTGTAAAGTATTCCGATCATGCATTGCCTTGATTTGGGATTTCGATACATCGGATCGGAACCCCAAATTTCGAACCTCCTTTACCCTCGATGCTGGTTCACTTTTTTGCGCGAAGCAAATGATAACACGCGGGCGGGCGGCCATTGCAGGAGGGTGGGTGAGAACCCTTTTGGTTGTTCCCCGGCTGTCAGGCGTAACCCGCTACCCACTCGAAATGCTGGTTTTCTTTTGATGTACTCTTTGGTTTTACGGGCGTGGTAGGAAGCTACTTTTAGCGGTGCGTGCGAGTAGTGAACTGCAGCCAGGCGTTGAAGACTTCGTCATTCTTCCACCCTGTGTGTCCCGTTTTTCACGAACTGCAACAAGTGCAATCAATACATTTACGTAATTCTGATTCTGTTCGATATCGAATCAGGCAGAGTGGTTATCCCTTGTGGTGGAGCTCGACTGCTGCTCTTTTGTGGGGTACCCAGGCTAGAACGCATCAGAATCAA